TAGTTAGAAATTTTTGTTTTGGACATTTAACAGTTTTAGGAAACCATAAGATAATGTGTCCAGGATTTTAAAATCTTACATGTACATTGTTTTAGCAATTAGTATTGTTGGTTTGTACAAATTTTGTAAAGTTTGTTTTTGTAAATTATAGTTAGATTTTCGTGTACATAGTGAGACATTTTGTAAGTTGTACTAGCAACTAGTTGCAAACAATTGTACAGTTGTATTTCGTTAAGATAGCTAAGTCAGCAAAATTTTGTTATTTTTTTTGTACTTTAAGCTTGGTGTTGTAAACACCAAATTCATTGGATTGGAGGAGTGTAACAAAATTTTGAATTTTTTATTTTTTATTTAGTGCTGTGTACTCGCTATTGTACATTTATTACACTTGATTTGTGTTTCCCATGTGAGATCATTAAGATCGTAACGTGTAGCAATGTTTGCAGTACTTTAGTTGTAGTTACAGGGGTGAAATAGCGTTTTCATGACTTCGAATTGGGATTTAATTTATGTTGATCAGGTAGTCGATCGGGTACTTTAAATGGAGGTCACTTTTTGGAATTTACTTCCTGCTTCTTATTCTATCGAACCGAAGTAAAACTAGAGTAAGTAGCGATCAATTACTGTTAGATTTATTAAGTTCCAATTATTATCTTGTTGTGTGAGCAATATTAAAGCGGAATATGGCGTCAATAACTTGTTATTTAACTTTGAAATCTTGTTCGTAAAGTGATGACGTCACCAAGCCTATAAAAGTATTTCGCCGATGTAAACTCGGCAGATTACAGCAAGCTTTTGACTGGGACAGAGCTCCGTTCGAAATATTTTGTGATTTCTAACAATTTTGATTTTGTTGGACTTTGACATTTTCTGTACATGATAACTTCGACTTAGAATGTTTCTGACTGGCACTTGGGAATATTCTCTGACTTTGTTTCTGTTCACATGTACCTGGCTGTAGACGAATCTACTTGAGGTTAAACTTGGACAAAATCAATTTTGTTGGACTTATGCCTTTTATCTGTAGATGATAACTTAGACTTGGGATATTTTCATACTTTGAAATATTCTTTGACTTTGTTTCGTGATACATCTACCTAGTAGGACTTATGCATTTTAGCTGTAGATGATAACCTAGACTTGGAATATTTTCATACTTTGAAATATTCTTTGACTTTTTTCTGTGATACATCTACCTGGAGTTGGAGTTGTACATTTTTCTGTAGATGATAACTTAGACTTGGAATATTTTCATACTTCGAAATATTCTTTGACTTTGTTCTGTGATACATCTACCTGGAGTTGGACTTGTACATTTTGCTGTAGATGATAACTTGGACTTAGAATATTTTAATCAATTTTTAATATTCTTTGACTTTGTTCTGTGATACATCTACCTAGTTGGACTTATACATTTTTCTGTAGATGATAACTTGGACTTAGAATATTTTAATCATTTTTAATATTCTTTGACTTTGTTCTGTGATACATCTACCTGGAGTTGGACTTGTACATTTTTCTGTAGATGCTAACTTGGACTTAGAATATTTTAATCATTTTCAATATTCTTTGACTTTGTTCTGTGATACATCTACCTGAAGTTGGACTTGTATATTTTGCTGTGGATGCTAACTTGGACTTCGAATATTTTAATCATTTTTAATATTCTTTGACTTTGTTCTGTGATACATCTACCGGGAGTTGGAGTTGTACATTTTGCTGTAGATGCTAACTTGGACTTAGAATATTTTAATCATTTTAAATATTCTTTGACTTTGTTCTGTGATACATCTACCTGGAGTTAGACTTATACATTTTAGTCGTTTATACTAACTTGGACTTAGAGTATTTCTTACTCACACTTTGAAATATTCTTCGACTTTGTTCTATTTGAAGTTTGACTTAGATAATTTATTGTGAAACTTCCTCACTGAAGACGTTCCAGTTGACTTTGTCGAACGGACTCACTGAGGCTGGGTCTTTATTTCAGCGACTGTCGAACGGACTTCCTGTAGAAGAGGATCCATTGGACTTACCCAGAGGAGGCTACCTGAGGGAGAAGAGGATCCACTGGACTTAGCTGAAGAGGCTACCTGAGGGAGAAGAGGATCCATTGGACTTAGCCAGAGGAGGCTACCTGAGGGAGAAGAGGATCCACTGGACTTAGCTGAAGAGGCTACCTGAGGGAGAAGACGTTCCAGTTGACTTTGTCGAACGGACTCACTGAGGCTGGGTCTTTATTTCAGCGACTTTGTCGAACGGACTTCCTTAGGAAGAGGATCCATTGGACTTAGCCAGAGGCTACCTGAGGGAGAAAAGGATCCATTGGACTAAGCCAGAGGAGGCTACCTGAGGGAGAAGAGGATCCACTGGACTTAGCTGAAGAGGCTACCTGAGGGAGAAGAGGATCCATTGGACTTAGCCAGAGGAGGCTACCTGAGGGAGAAGAGGATCCATTGGACTTAGCTGAAGAGGCTACCTGAGGGAGAAGACGTTCCAGTTGACTTTGTCGAACGGACTCACTGAGGCTGGGTCTTTATTTTAGCGACTTTGTCGAACGGACTTCCTGAGGAAGGTGATCCATTGGACTTACCCAGAGGAGGCTACCTGAGGGAGAAGAGGATCCACTGGACTTAGCTGAAGAGGCTACCTGAGGGAGAAGAGGATCCATTGGACTTAGCCGGAGGAGGCTACCTGAGGGAGAAGAGGATCCATTGGACTTCACCGGAAGAGGCTACCTGAGGGAGACGTTCCAGTTGACTTTGTCGAACGGACTCACTGAGGCTGGGTCTTTATTTTAGCGACTTTGTCGAACGGACTTCCTGAGGAAGGTGATCCATTGGACTTACCCAGAAGAGGCTACCTGAGGGAGAAGAGGATCCATTGGACTTAGCCAGAGGAGGCTACCTGAGGGAGAAGACGTTCCAATTGACTTTGTCGAACGGACTCACTGAGGCTGGGTCTTTATTTTAGCGACTTTGTCGAACGGACTTCCTGAGGAAGGTGATCCATTGGACTTACCCAGAGGAGGCTACCTGAGGGAGAAGAGGATCCACTGGACTTAGCTGAAGAGGCTACCTGAGGGAGAAGAAGATCCATTGGACTTACCCAGAGGAGGCTACCTGAGGGAGAAGAGGATCCATTGGACTTAGCCAGAGGCTACCTGAGGGAGAAGAGGATCCATTGGACTTAGCCAGAGGAGGCTACCTGAGGGAGAAGAGGATCCATTGGACTTAGCTGAAGAGGCTACCTGAGGGAGAAGACGTTCCAGTTGACTTTGTCGAACGGACTCACTGAGGCTGGGTCTTTATTTTAGCGACTTTGTCGAACGGACTTCCTGAGGAAGGTGATCCATTGGACTTACCCAGAGGAGGCTACCTGAGGGAGAAGAGGATCCACTGGACTTAGCTGAAGAGGCTACCTGAGGGAGAAGAGGATCCATTGGACTTAGCCGGAGGAGGCTACCTGAGGGAGAAGAGGATCCATTGGACTTCACCGGAAGAGGCTACCTGAGGGAGACGTTCCAGTTGACTTTGTCGAACGGACTCACTGAGGCTGGGTCTTTATTTTAGCGACTTTGTCGAACGGACTTCCTGAGGAAGGTGATCCATTGGACTTACCCAGAAGAGGCTACCTGAGGGAGAAGAGGATCCATTGGACTTAGCCAGAGGAGGCTACCTGAGGGAGAAGACGTTCCAGTTGACTTTGTCAAACGGACTCACTGAGGCTGGGTCTTTATTTTAGCGACTTTGTCGAACGGACTTCCTGAGGAAGGTGATCCATTGGACTTACCCAGAGGAGGCTACCTGAGGGAGAAGAGGATCCACTGGACTTAGCTGAAGAGGCTACCTGAGGGAGAAGAAGATCCATTGGACTTACCCAGAGGAGGCTACCTGAGGGAGAAGACGTTCCATTGGACTTAGCCGGAGGAGGCTACCTGAGGGAGAAGAGGGTCCATTGGACTTCACTGGAAGAGGCTACCTGAGGGAGACGTTCCAGTTGACTTTGTCGAACGGACTCACTGAGGCTGGGTCTTTATTTTAGCGACTTTGTCGAACGGACTTCCTGAGGAAGGTGATCCATTGGACTTAGCCAGAGGAGGCTACCTGAGGGAGAAGAGGATCCACTGGACTTAGCTGAAGAGGCTACCTGAGGGAGAAGAGGATCCATTGGACTTAGCCAGAGGAGGCTACCTGAGGGAGAAGACGTTCCAGTTGACTTTGTCGAACGGACTCACTGAGGCTGGGTCTTTATTTCAGCGACTTTGTCGAACGGACTTCCTGAGGAAGGTGATCCATTGGACTAAGCCGGAAGAGGCTACCTGAGGGAGAAGAGGATCTATTGGACTAAGCCGGAGGAGGCTACCTGAGGGAGAAGAGGATCCACTGGACTAAGCCGGAAGAGGCTACCTGAGGGAGAAGACGTTCCAATTGACTTTGTCGAACGGACTTCCTGAGGAAGGTGATCCATTGGACTTAGCCGGAGGAGGCTACCTGAGGGAGAAGAGGATCTATTGGACTTAGCCGGAGCAGGCTACCTGAGGGAGAAGAGGATCCACTAGACTTAGCCGGAGGAGGCTACCTGAGGGAGAAGAGGATACACTGGACTTAGCCGGAGGAGGCTACCTGCACGAGACAAGATACTGGTCCTTGTATGGAACTGGATGTTCTTTTCATCGCTTTGATTGTGTGACTTCAATCCAATCCCACAATTGATGTTTATATGTATAGACTCACAGTGAATAATAATAACAATAACAACAACAACAACGAACATTGGTTCTATTCAAGTTTATTGCAAGGACATTTTGCTATTTGATGTACACAATTTTGGGCCTACAGACGCCACAATATATCGTTTGTTGTGTAATAAATATAATTGAATGTTCTGTTGAATCTTTGGTGCAAACACATTTAACGTGTGTCACGTAACCCACAAGGTATACAGAGGTCTATTAGTCCACACTACCATAATATCCACAAAAGGGCCTAACTGTTACAATATATTCATATATGTTGGTTACGATATCAACAGCTCATTGAAATTTAAAGAAATCAAAAGTAATCTCTGATACTTCTAAAAAATTTAATTTAAACTATATTATCCAATGATGCAAATAATCGTGACGTAGGATTCGAGTTTGTGTATATCACTTTAGTGTCACAAGGATTAAAGGAAACTTGGTGCAGGTAGCTCGAAGTGGAGTTTTGCTATCTCTTATGTTTCTGCTATTTAGGTTATTTATTAACCTTATGAGTAAGTATTTTTATTATTAACATTGCAACTAAAGTAAATTATTAATGATTGTTGAAATCTAAAAGTTTATATTTCACTTGAAAATTTGATTTATTGTGAGGGAAGATGTCACAGTCAGAACTCATACTTTCTAAAAACAGAAAAGGTCTACACCCAGAAATATGAATCATTTGGAAAATTAACACAGTCCTTATTAAATTGAATAATACAAACTGATGACAGGGACGTGAAAAGTTGTTTATGTGCCACACCCACTCTCTTTGGAATGTGGCCATGCCGTGAGGGAGGTTTACGCGGTCACGGAAATTATAGTACAGTTGGGGACAAAAATAAATGACAGGTCGATTTTCGATCACCATTTCCTAATTATGGTGGTCTGAAAGCTAGTGTTGTCGCGATTAATCGATACATCGCGATATACATCGCCAAAGCTGGTTCTGGCGATGCAACGATGTCTGAAACAAAACATCGATGTTTTTGAAAAAAATAAATTTGCTAAAAATCGCCCTTTCTTATCTTATTTTGACGCAAATTGCTTACCTTTTTTCATGTCTGATTACATTTTCCAATGTTTTCTGATATTCTTTCGCTTTATAACTGTTTTAGCTAGTCGAAATGAACCATTAATCTAAAAGAAATTACTTTACTTTCATTTCACCGTTACTAGAAGTTCCCGGATGTACCACCGTACTCTTATTAATTTGTTCTGTTCGGTATTTTAGTGCATTAGCGTTCGGTATTTTAGTGCACTTTTCTCGAACTTTTTCTCGATGTACATCGCGATGTGCATCGATGTTTACTACTGAAAATTGCCGATGTATCGATGTACGATTATGCCACATCGCGACAACACTACTGAAAGCCCATAATTTCCAATATTGTCTAGATATATATCCCTTAAAATTTGTATATTTTACATTTTGTATAATCTCATCCACTGATGTATGGCCTCTTGTAAATTCTCTTATTTTTAACATGGGAAATCCTCACTTCAGCAAATCCACCTGTCATTTATTTATGTCCCCAACTGTATTTAACTTTTTGTCAAAACCAAGACATCAGTGATTTGAGATTCCATAAACCCGAACAGGTTGCAAACAATGGCAAGCAAATCATTGAATTGAATAATATTACCTCTACTACCTCTATATAATATTTATCTCCTGATAGATACCATATAAAGTAAAACAAGTGTTTGAATTACCCCCATGCTAGTGTTCGGAATTACCCCCTAAAAAATCTCCTGTTTGGATTTACCCCCCTAAAACACATTGTAGTTAAAGTGGTATAACCCAGATTTTTTGACAATTTATAGGAATTTTTTTCTGTAAATGCATTTTACAGCACCTAATTCACATAACATATTTAAAATTATTCTACAGATGTGCTGTACAGCCAAGCTAACTACATTTTTTGATGGGGGTGTTTGGAAATAGACGTATTGACTCTATATATATGCAGCTTATATGCAACTTCGCACTAGAGTATGCATGATATATTTCTCATGAATTTGAGTTCATATTTCGATTAGTGAAGTAGGGTTATTCTCTGTCAATTCGCAATTTTGTTTCAATTTTTATGATAAGTTCTTATTAGGAAAGAATAAATCATGTGCGCGAAATGACTGGTTTAAACATGGGCTTTTAATTAGAAATTTGAAAGCCCATGGTTTAAAATGATCACAATCCGCATGCACGCGCGTGCCATGTTTTTCCAGTCCTTTTTATTGGGCCCTTTATTGTTCTATGGGAATTTGTATTTTTTGGTACGAGATAAATCTTTACCCGTGAATCATTACTAGTATGTCCACGGGATGTCATCGCCTGATTTGGTCAATGTTAGGGAGCAGGTCGTTTTTACAATAAATTTCAATATTTTCACACAAAATATTTTTTTACTGAAAAACTGCTCATTCGCAGAGAAAATGTACTAGCACATGCAATGACAATGTCAATCACGCTTCTGTACTAAATTCGGCGGAAGTCTTTTATAATCTAATACGAAGTTACTAAAAGAGGCGCGAACGCCCTACACTCAAAATGATCGTTTTTCCATTATAACTTTTTAACGTAATTTAACGAAGGCTTCTAATTATTATCCAAGATAGTCTAAATACCGATTAAAATATTTCTTACTTCAAACAGATACGCCGTCTTTTATTCAATTTTTTAAAAAATAATAAAAAATAACTCTTGTCAATGTTAGGGAGCAGTCAATGTTAGGGAGCAAAATGATTTTATCAGAATATTAAAAATGTAGCAAATGGCCATTTAAAATATGTATGGCATTTATAAACTGAACAATTTTGTTTGTATGATTATTTGATACCCTTTGGGGAGGAAAGCGTTAAAATTGTAAGAAAATCATTGAAAAGGTTATTTTGCATTTTTTATTTTCAGCTAAATCCTGTTTACGTTCGTTTTAGAAATATTTAGATGCGAACCATTCCTTCTTTATTCGTTGACCTCTAACTGTAAATGAATGGATGTATCGTTATATACACTTTTTGATGATGTCATCAGTTCACAATCCTAAATTGTGGATGATAAATTATCTGAACTGATATATAGGCTTGAGAAATCTCCGACATCCTTCAGTTCTATGATTTGATATTTTCCTAGTATTAAAGTAAGAGAGTTAGTCTCGCACTTATCTTTACGACCGGGTATCACCTGATAGCTGGCACAAACGCTATGAAGGGCTCATTGCGCAGTTACATGTATGATAGTAGATTTTTACACGTATACTTCAATTTGTCAATACTCAGACAATGCAGTATATAACCGATCTCTGTTATATGTGTACCACTTGCTAATGATACTCTAAAGCCCGGTATACACCAATGGGACAAGTTGGGACCTCCATAGACTTAACATGGCGTGGGACCTAGTGGGACCTTTTGGGATTTTGCCCCATGAAGTCCGTGGGAATCAATGGGACTCCGTCGGATTTCGCCCCACTGCATTGTTTGCTCCGCCACATTGATCATACTTATTTTTTATTATTTAAAAAAATTAAAGAAAGGTGTACCTGTTTGAAGTAAAAAATATTTCAATATGTACTGAGATTATCCATGATAATAATTAACTTTCCTTCGTCAAAAATCTTTGAGAGTCCATTTTCTGCAGATAACAAAAATGCAAAACAATTTTTTTTATCGATTTTGTTAAATTTTGTTAAGGCAAGGGGTTTAAAATAATCATTCAAACAATATTGTTTAGTTTATAAATGCCATACATATTTTAAATGGCCATTTGCTACATTTTTAATATTCTGATGTTGGTGAGTTGAGTAACATAAACCAAAAAGGCTAAAAACAGTTATCATACACTCCTTTGTATGTTGAAGGACAATTTGAAAATGATTGATTTTGGTGTATAGCAGGTTGGGCATGTCTTCTGATTGGGGGAGAATGCTGGCTGGTCGGGTTATAATCTGCAGTAATTCAAAATTTAAGCCAGGGTAAATAATAGATTTTTTCAACCAGCAAATTGACCTTCAAAGAACTCGAGCATGTATGATTCATTAAACTAATTTTGTAACTAATCATTTTAATTGATAGCTATGGAATTCCAGTAAACTTAAAATTGCAAAATAAAATCATATAACAACAGCTACATTTTTAGGGATCTCATAGCACCAAAAATTGGAAAACATTTTCAAAACAATTTCAAAATCTTTGAATTATGAAATAGCAGAACCACATGTCTAAATTCTTATTTTATGCCTTAATGGATATTCTAAATGTGGTTTAGAAATAAATAACAAGTATCATTCACTTTCAGTTTTATCAACATTTGCATAGTTGTGTGAGTTCACTATATTTATGTCGCAGGTTTATTTTGTGGTGAAATAATTGCTTTTTATAAGAGGGAGTGTATTGATCAGCAGTTATGCTGTATTCATTCACTTTTTCACACAGTATGTTTAAATTTTGTTTAATATTTTGCCTCATGGTTCACTCTTTTAGTTTTTAACTATAATAGACAGGCAATGGTAATTGAAATATATACGAGTATTCAGATATGTTGACATAAACATCTGAGTTTATTAATGTAGAAGCCTCATTCATTTGTTTACAGTTATCATATTTTATCTAATGATATGACAACTTTTATGTTTCAGATTAGGCTATTAACCTGCGTTAATCCCACAAGTGGACAATCAACTTAGACAATGGAACAATGAACATAGTGTAAAACACTTCACTTCAACGGAGAATCAAGTACCTGCACTCCCATATTCTAGAAATTCATATTCATTTCAACTTTTGAAGTTTGGATTTCAATGTAAATACAAGTGACACCATTGCTGTTTCATAGAAATGGAAACACATGGCGTGTTAACCTATGATTCATTCACTTCAACAAATGCATGGATCTATATGTGAGATTTGAAATTGGATTTTACGTTTTCTGTTTTTCCACATGATATTTGAAGATGGAGGCAGGTACAGGAGAAATAGATGATCTTGCCGCTCTTAGTAGTCTCAGCGAACCCCTTCTCCTAGATGAGATAAGGATAAGATACAGCAAAGATATAATATACGTGAGTTACAATAATCTGTTTGTATTTGTGGGATATATACATGTTTAGGGAGATCGTTGTATATAAATGTATAATGTATAAGTGTTTCACATTAAGTAGATGTTAAGGAAATATATAGTTGTATTTTGTATTCCTTATTTAGATGTGATTGCATGGCATATTGCTAATATTGACCATAGGATACAGTCAAGCCTGTGTATTTGGGATAACCGTTCTCCCAACACAGGTTTTACTGGAGTGTTATAGCAAGTTATAGCAAAGTTATTTTCATTGAATAATCATCTTGAAGGAACATGATTTAATCCTGATGCACTATTGATTTACATAATTCATGGGAAGGGGCAGACGGGAATACTAATTTGAACAATAATGAAAATAATTGAAAAAATTATTTTCTCCCAAAACAGGTTTTACTGTAGTGTTTAAACAAGTTATAGCAAAGTTATTTTCACTGAATAATCATCTTGAAGGAATATGATTTAATCCGTATTTATTTACATAGTTCATGGAAGGGGAAGGGAATTTTATTGTCATTTAGAGGTGTTAGATGGGATTTACTTCAATTTGCTTTACTCAATCATTTTATTTTAATTTGAATATGAAGAGAATTTGTATTTAAAAAGAAATCCTGAAGGATCACAATTTTTAGGACTGAGTGAATTTCAAACTACAGTACATGTAGTCAAATTGACATCATGCTTTGAGATCACCTAATAAACCAGAAATTGCATGAAGGGCGTTGTTTTTAAAAAGTTGTATCAGGTTAGATAAAAGCATTTCCCTATGATTCTATTTTTATGATTATTTATGTGACGTTTGATGTAGCTTTGAGGGTTTATACTGCCCTTTATCACCATTACATCCAAAAATTATCAAAAAACAAATTTGGTTAGATGCAATTACAGAAAACAGTGTTAGCCAGGATTCATAAATTGTGCCGTATTGCCTTTGCTATTTCTTCACATTGCAGTTATTGTTGTGATTTGTGACTTTGATAACCAATGCTTTACATTTTGCATGTTGTTTCTGCATGGCTTTTTGACTTTTGTGTATTCTAGACCTACATTGGTGACATTCTAGTCGCAGTCAACCCATATAAACGACTGCCTATATATGGGCCAGAAATTTCTGAGAAATACAGCAATATTAAAGTAAGACAGCATCATTTGCCCCATCTCTATGCTATATCTGATCAAGCCTACCAGAAGCTATGCAAGACAGGGGCAAGTCAGTGTTGTGTGGTCAGCGGGGAGTCTGGTGCAGGTAAATGGGACAAGGTTTAAATTATGTACTGTAAAACCTGTAATAAGTGAGCTTGAGAAATATTTGAATTTAGATATCGTAAACAGCTTACTATACAGGTATGTACATTCAAAACATATTACTGTACAGTGTACTTTGATAAAACTAAATTGTCTGTTTTATAGATTGACCCATGTTTTTCATTTTGAATGATTGATACCTTCAGATTAGTAATAGTGTAAATACTTAAGTAGTAATTTCACCCTTGCATGGTTTTATCTAATACTTTATTGTGAGTTCTATATTAAGGTAGCTTGCCTTGAATGTTTATATCAATTGTTCAGCAAAAACTTATCATTATGACAGAGGGGTTAATATTGATGGAGAAGATGAGTTTAAAATATTATTTTGAAAGTCTGAATTGAGATGAAAAGCAGTTTAGATCATCTACATTTCCGCATTTAATGTCTCGGGATTAAGAAACATCAAGGGTTCCATCAAATCTAAAAAATGTAGAAACAAATATATATATTTTTTTAATATGCTTTGAATGGCCAAACTGACCAGAGGAAGTACAATAACACAACATAAATCGTCCACTCCTCTTATTCAAGGATCTGGATCTGATTTAATGTTATTGAAGTCAATATCATATTTGGAAGACAAAGACTTAGAAAATCAGAATTTTATTCAATCATTTGCTGAAGAGTTGTCAAAAGTCATGTTGTTATTATCAATATATTTTCGGGTTATTTTCTCAGGAAATGTTGAATATGCCACTATGAAACAATTTATCGGACCACATTTTCAATATATTCCAAATTACAGGTAAAACTGAAAGTACAAAACTCCTAGTGAAACACATTGTGAATACACTATGCAACCAGAAGGACACCAGCCTCCATGAACAGATTGTAGAGGTAATTAAACCACACTAGATATTACATGTTCTCTGGCATTGATATTCTTCAATACTTCCCTAGCCATTCTGTTAAATTAAATTGTTGCATTAAAATGTGGTTAATTGTTGTTTAGGGGCGGGGTCAAAATATCAATGTTCATATGGAGACGAAAGTAATTTCGTTTGGACAACAACCCCCTCACCCCCCCTCTAGACGAAAGCTTAGGTCACTTCAAAAAAACATTGATTTTCAGTGACTGTCAATTGATTTGGAACCCGGGTTATTATTACGGTGAATTAACACACGTTCGCAATTTAAAGGCAGAATCAGATCTATAGGGGGAGACAAAATTACAAGCAACGTGCATAATTGACCTACCAATCTATTCCTTACAATCTCAAATACAATATCTCCCAAAAGATTCACAATATGCTATAAATTGGCGAACTTATTAATGATTCAAAGTGCAAAAATGGATGAAAAATGTTTAAATTCTCCCAAATAATAAGAATGGTAACCATTCTTATAGAAAAATAATACATTATTGTAAAAATCTTTTGTTTTCCTTGAATAAAGTATGTACTTTTGTGATTTTTAGAAAATAGACATGACAAGGAATGACATGAGCCAAAAATATTCTAAACTTGAAACAATTTTTTGTTTAGCCTGCTCGCTATCTCTGATTCTCTCTTTAACTGCATTGAACTCTTCAAAAGGAGGAGGGAAAAGTACGGAATTTATTTGAAAAATGATCAAATTATCGTCTTTATCTACCAATATTTTGGACATATCACACAAAAAAGCTCACGAACTATTGAAAACAAGCCTTTTTATCAGAACATAGCGCCAGAAAAAGTGGGTAAGTCCGATTATTTTTTGTATATCAGATCCGAATTATTGATGTTTTTTTTGGTCAACGAAAGTGCCCAAAAACCCCCTCCCCCCCTCGCGAAAGTACTTTCGTCTCCATATGAACATCGATATTTTGACCCCGCCCCTTAGTAAGTTAATTACTTCAGCATAAAAAATGAAGACAAATAAATAGAAATAGGTTCTGATTTATCAAGATATAATAATAACAAAACCTTTTTTGTAGGTGAACCCTCTTTTGGAGGCATTTGGTAATGCACGTACTGTTATGAATGATAACTCAAGTAGATTCGGCAAGTTCATTGAGCTGAAGTTTACACCCGGGGGAGAGGTCATTGGAGGTATGTGATTATGCAACAGTGTAGAATTTGTATATCAATTTTTACTGCCAACTTTATTAAATGCAGTGTCAGGTTATTTAGTATTTTTGTTACCAACAAAAATATTTTATCCCAAACAATTTCTGTTAATTGATAATCAGTAATTAAATGTTCTTTTGCCATAAGAGAGTTTTTGCAGCCATGGGGATGTATAAATGTATGCACCATATATTGTACGTACAATATTATGATGACCTTTCAGCCAGGATAGATGACTACCTACTGGAGAAGTCACGTGTAGTCCACCAGGGTCCTGGAGAAAGAAACTTCCATGTGTTTTACTACATGTTTGCTGGAATGTCCAAAAAAGAATTGAACGATCTTCTCTTAGGGAAGCCTGAGAAACATAGGTACATTTTATTCTCCTACTTGGGGGAGGACCTTACCATTTGAAGAAAATAGGCTTTATATATATCCAAGGGAAAATGTTATGGGTATAAATGAAAATCAAGTATTTTGTTGTAATAGTTTAAAATGTGCTTTATGTGTTAACAGCTAATGTGCTTTCATAGTGCCTGATTAAAAACATTTGTCTCATTTTTAAGAAAATTATACCACTTTTGATAAATAGAAAAGTGATAACATTCTCTATGAACGCATACAGCACTTTAGGTTATTGTTTTATTTGTAGGTTCCTGAAGCCGCGGGATGGAAGTGCAGTTTACACATCTGAGTTAGATTTCTTCTATAACAAAGACATGTATAGAAAGCTGACTGAGATAATGGAACTAGTTGGTTTCACAGAACAAGACCGCAAAATGATCTTTGCACTCCTGGCTGCCATATTGTATGTGGGCGATATCCAGTTTGAGAAGGATCCTGACACTGATGGGGTTTACATTGTAGATGAATATCCCCTTGATGTCGGTAAGTTAACTTTACTATCATGTATCCATGCTCATGATATACAGGCCCGTCAGATGGGGGGGTGCGATGGGTGCGACCGCACCCCCCTTTGACACCTCCCCCAAAAAAATTAAATTTTTTTTTTTTTAAATATTGAAAAATATTTTTTTGTACTTTTTTTTCATCATCTCATACACTTTTAAAGTGCCCAGAAAGCATCAAATAACATCTTAAAATTGTAAAATTTTCTACAGGGAGTGGGCCACCCCTCACACCCCCCTCAATACAATGGAAAAGTTCTGAATTTATTTTATGTATTGTCTCAGACACTTTTAAAGTGCCCAAGTGCCCACACATCATCACATAGCTCCTTGATATAGTCAATGTTTCTGGGGGACTAACACTTGCTCCCCTTCGTGATCCCCATCCCACCTCCCTCTGGCACCCTCGCCCCCCTTGACACCCCTCCAAAAAATTGAAAAAATTGTGATTTTCTCAATTTTTTAATTCACTCATACACTTTGAAAGTGCCCAGAGAGCACTAAATAGCATTTTAAAATTGTAAAATTTTCTAGGGGGAGTGGGCCACCCCTCACACCCCAAAAAACAATTGAAAAGTTCTGAATTTATTTTATGTATCATCTCAGACACATGTAAAGTGCCCAGACATCATCAAATAGCTCCTTGATATAGTCAATGATTCTGGGAGACTAACACTTACTCGCCCTCTTGCATCCCCATCCCACCTCCCCCTTTGACATCCCCCAAAATATTGTGACTTTTTCAAATTTTTTATCGAGTCATACACTTCGAACGTGCCCAGGAAGCACCAAATAGCATCTTAAAATTGTAAAATTTTCCAGGGAAGTAGGCCACCCCTCACATCCCCAACAAAACAATTGACAAAAATTCTTAATTTATTTCATGCATTGTCTCAGACACTTTTAAAATGCCAAGACTTCATCAAATAGCACCTTGATATGGTCAATGTTTCTGGGGGCAGATATGGGGACACACACTTGCTCCCCCTCTGGCACCCTAATCCCACTTCCCCTCTGGCATCCCCTTTGACACCCCCTAAAATTGAAAAAATGTAATTGTTTTTCAATTTTTTTTTCGATTGACTCATACACTTTAAAAGTGCCCAGAAGCACCAAATATCATCTTAAAATTGCAAAATTTTCTGGAAGAGTTGGCCACCCCTCACACTCCCCACAAAACAAAAAACAATTGAGAAAATTCTGAATTTCATGTATTGTCTCAGACATTTTTAAAGTGCCCAGACATCATCAAATGGCACCTTGATATGGTCATTGTTTCTTGGGGCAACCCCTTGCTCCCCCTCTGGCACTCCAACCCACTTCACTCTCTCATTCTCTTTGACATCCCCAAAAATAATTTGAAAAAAAATTCACATTTTATTGACTCATTCACTTTAAAAGTGCCCAGAAAGCACCAAATGGCATCTCAAAAGTGTAAAATTTTCTAGGGGGAGTGGGTCACTCCTCAAAAGTTTGGAAGTTGCATTTGTTAATTTTAAACACTTTAAGAGTGCCTAAAAGTCACCAAGTGACATAATGAAATCATAAAAAACATAAAAATTTCTGGCAGCCCACTCCAAAAACTAAAGCATTCATTTACTCAAACACATTAAAAGTGCTCAGAATTAACCAGACAGCATCTTGAATTAGTAAAATTTTCCTTGCTGCCCCCCTAAGAAGAAATTGATTGAAAAAATCTGAATTTCTTATCAATAGATTCTATTCCAATTAAAACACCTTGAAAGGGTCCAGAAATCACTAAATGTGATCTTGAACTGGTAAAAGTTCTAGTAAGCTTACACCCTCCCCCTATTCTAGTGTTTCTCCAAATTTCTCATACAATATTAAATATTGTAATATTAATATTATATTTAGTCTTAAAACAATACGTAAACAATAAAATACTACAAAATATAGGGAGTAACCGACCCCCCCCCCCTTTTGACTTACGCAATTTGATTTACGCGGCAAAAAAATTGACAATTTTATTTTCTCTTTAGTTAAAACCGCACCCCCCTTGGAGAAAAGTGTCTTACGGGCCTGATATATTAGATATCAGAACAGAAAGACAGTGAGGATTCTACCAGTTGATATCCTCACTGTACTTCAGGGTTACGGCACGATCAGTTTTTTTATAGTTTAAAAATTATTCAAGTTGATACATATCAATTTTTAGAACTAGTCACTTGATCATGCATTTTTAACACTGAGCATGGTAATGACTTATCCTTGCCAAATCATGCATATTGTATTTCAATATGTTTTGTTTCTATTTCAGTTGCCGATCTACTAGGGCTATACCCAGAGGAGCTAGCGAGGATATTGATATCAAATCTTGCCATAATTAGAGGTAGGTTTTCCTGTTTGGAAGTATGGGAGTAAATTTAATGATTAAAAGGATAATACAAAATTGTTTGCTGTTTCTGAGCTGCATGCTGATGACACTATGAAGGATTTCCCATTTAAATTGTAGTGGTGCAATGTTGTCAGAAGAATTGTATACAAAAAAAAGTTGCTTACATAATGTCTTGAATCAGTAGTTTATAATTTGTATAAACGTCATAGCGTCTATATCAAAATGTAAGCAGGCTCATATTGTGATAACCCTGTGGATATATTACTGTGACAGTTTGTTTTGAACTGTTTATATTTGAAGTAGAATGATATTGATTTAATACATGAAAATGATATTGAGATGTGTCTGCTGGTGTCTGTATAGTCATTTTAACCAGTTAGGTCTCAAACCTTCAAAATGACTACTTGTGATGTTACAATTATATTTATATGAGATGTCCACTACTGAACACACTTTAATTTGTTGTAATTCTAGGAGAAAGGATAGTCAGTATGAAGAATCTCTACCAAGCCAGTGATGGCCGTGACGCACTTGCCAAATCCTTATATGGTCGTCTTTTTGACTGGATCGTCAGGCAGATAAATATTAAATTGAAACCTGAGCATGCTGCAAGGTATGGAAGCATTTTGATTTGTCATTATTGTCAATATAAGCCTAACTTGTCATTGTGTTATGTTATATGTTTAAGTACAATAAGTTTAGGAAATATTCAAAGTATACGAAACTGTATTTAGATTTGAAATGTATATTCATTTTGTTCAGCTGGACAGAATCTTGTTTCATGAAATTATGATTATTTGTATGAACTTCATGCATTAAAACTTCAATTTTTAAATTTCAGTGCTTCAGCACAGATAGGCATTCTAGACATAGCTGGATTTGAGAACTTTCCCCATAACAGCTTTGAGCAACTGTGTATTAATGTTGCCAATGAACAGCTGCAGTTTTATTTCAACCAACACATCTTCACATGGGAGCTGGATGAGTATGCTAAAGAAGGAGTCAAGGGAGAAAAGATTAAGTTTGTCAATAACCGCCCACTTCTGGATTTATTTCTAGAGGTAAGTTAGGTTTTTTTCTATATAGCATGGGTTTCCCGGCAAAGTACCAATGCATTATGGGTAATGAGGTTATGTACTCCGTAATATTGGTGTATATCTGAGAAAATATTTATGAAGTATGGAAGAAGGAGCTGTTAGATTGTGTTACTTTGTGTGTTATATCATAGTTTGGGATATCGGAATCTTGAGCTATGACTAATTGAGCTTTTGGGTGTTTTTTGCTGCACATTGTCATCCTTGCACTACATTTAGTCAAATCAGGGAAGATGGTTTTTGTATTAAACTAAGTGGCACTTGTGCTCACATACTAACAATATTTGCTCAACCTGGCCGAACAGTAAAGACTGGATATCTCGTGTGATTTTAAATTGAAACTACAGCGTCCTGACCAATGTCTGTGGTGGTGAATTAGGATGTTAATTATGATTTAATTTTTTCTGATGATGAAGTATACAGAACAAAAACTTAAACAAATGAAATAAAGTATTTCAGAATTTTATTCAGAAATAAAAAAAGTTAAATAAAAAAATTCACTAGCAGTTTCTCGGTTGAATGTTAGCCCATAAGAAATGATGTGAGATTTGAATGTCCATTGCTTGAAATGCTAGAAGTTCAGTGACCTTGAATCTAATATGGATGATATGGTTGTATGTCAGGCTTAGTGCCTCTTTGTGACACAGACACCTGCGTATTCATCAAAGACAAGTCCGTAAGGGCAGGGACGGGCAAGGGCTTTTCCAGAGGCATCACACTGCCAGAAACAGCTTTCGTCAGAGTGCTTGAAGTGGAATTTCTGGGCAGGGGCCTGGTATGCGTTGTAGCTATTGTGCCTGTTGTAGCTATCATGTCCGTAGCTTGGCTGGGCAACGTATGTCTCAGCTGGGTAGTAGCTCTTGGGGCATGTGAAGTAGCTCTGGTAGGTGGTGGCACATTTCTTGCAAGTGTTGTACATGTAGGAGCCGTATCCATAGCTAGTACAGTGGCTGTAGCTGGTGGTCTCATAAGAGCTGTAGCTGCTGTGGCTGTTGTAGCTTGGGGCTTTGTAGCTGTCTTGACTCTTGTAGCTTGGGGCTTTGTAGCTCTCTTGACTCTTGTAGCTTGGGGCTTTGTAGCTGTCTTGACTCTTGTAGCTTGGGGCTTTGTAGCTGTCATGTCTGTTGTAGTGGTAGGTTTCCTTGTAGTAGCCATCATTCCTCTGGTAGGGGTTGGTGGGGTACTTGGGGTCATATGATTCACTGGAATTAAAGAAATTAAATCTTTTAGAAGTGGATGATTTAAAAAATAAGGTTTTTCATAGAATTGGGAATAAATATGGGGAAGCCTTGCAGAAGGATTGGTGGCCTAGCAATGGTAATGGTTATTTCAGTCACCTTGCTGAACAAATAAGATATAGAACATAAATTGATAAGTTGTTTATTTGAAATAAAAGTAGATTTAAAGGCTGTATGTTATAAGTTTAACTACTGAATTGTTGATTTACTTGGATAGTTTAAGCTTCGAGTGATCCTGGCAGCCAATTCAAATATTCATTAATTTGAATTACACCTATAAAGATATTCTTCAGATTAATATTTTTATAAAGCAATATCGGATAAATGTTACATTACAAATGTCCCTTTTCATCAGTTCATGATAATTTAATTGTGTAAAAGAGGCATTCTCTCACATTTAATTGCATTCTTTTACTCTCATTATTCTTGTGTGGCAGTTGATTAAGTGCATTTTAACTTTGTAAATTTGATAGTGCCCTGAAGTGACTTTTATAATGCTACAATATAATGGCACCACTCTGTAACCTCTGATCTCCAAGTGTCACTATTTTGTGCATAGAATATATTTTTATTCATACTGTCATTCTCATAGACCTGTCAGTATGCATATGATAAATTATGTGGCAAGTGGAATGCAAAAATGTCTGATGACTTTTTTATTTAGTACCTTCATTACAAATAAGTTTGTTTATTTCTCTGTCAGATCCATAACCAAATGGATTTTGTTAAAAACCTGAATTCCAAAACATATGGGAAGGATTTAAGCTTTATTTTTTTAAATGTTGCATCAATGGTATTTCATTTAAAATATGGTTGACATGGTTGTCTGTTTTTCATAAAAGTTCAAGTGGAACTTCATTATTTGAGATAAAAATTCTTTATAGCTACATATATGAAATCTTCCTATGTTAAAAAAAATAATTAAATAAAAAAGATTGTAAAATCAAATTCACCATACAATAATGACCAGCTTAAATATTGATGCTTGAAAAAGATAAAACCCAAATTGAAACAAAAGTTACTATACAATAAAATACATATTACTTACGTGGCATATTCACTGGCCATTGCCACGGCAACGCATCCCAACAAAGCTACAAGTACAGTCTGCATGTTGATTGTCTGTGTTGTCAAGCTAAGATAGATTGATATTTTCTGGAGAGCTCATTTGGCTTTTATACCCTAATCTAACTACCCAGGTGTTACCACAGGCTGAATATGTGACCAGAATAGTTTTGATCATTTAATTAAAAATAAGTCAAGTCACATACAATACTGTACACATAAGTATTTTCTCAGTTTACAATTTACATTTTTATATATTCAAAGGAAATTTTGACTTTAGTTCTGTCTAATATATTTGGTGCATATATTATTGCTATAAACACTATTGTATTTTATAGAAAGTATAATAGTTCTAGAAATAGTATAATAGTTCTAGAAATAAGAAAAATATATGTTAGCAATAATGGATAACAATCAAGGTTACAGTTGTGAACTCTAGGTTTAAGCTATGTGTTCATTTTTCAGAATAGTACTACGGGGGAATATTTTGAATATATTCTCTCTAAAATGTCAAGAAGAGTCGAAATTACATTTCATCGGTGTTTGGACTTTATTTCCATGCATTTATCGTCATGTTCTCCGATTAGTGAGAGTTTTAGAACAGGAAATCTTTGAATTCTTCGTTTTATTACATAACAACTTCTCGAAGTATCAATTACATGCAATTAATATGATTTGAATTAAGTGATGTGACATGTGTTATGCCCAGGGACATCACCTGTGCTCATTATTGTGCAGACTTGTGTAGTGAGCGCTCAGAGAAAATCTTCATTACCTTGTTTTATCTGATATTGCGTACAAATGGGAAGGAAAACATGTGCATTAATGTTTAAGATAAATACAGGAGTATTAGGCTGTTTTAGGGGTCCTTGTGTTTGCTCTGTATAGAGCTATCACTTCAACAATACCACTCTCTCATTTCTCTCGTGTGCTGTTTAACCTCATGAAATGGTGCTGATTAGACATCAAATGTCCCTATACTGTATATACATGAACATTTCATTAAAAAATATTTCAGAGGTTTTTCTATCAAAAATCATATTTTAGGTTTTGAATGGATAAACAATAAAAGAGGTTGAAAAACTTGAGACTGGTTTCTCTTGCAAAACAATCATGTCCCTAATTGCCAGACATGCCAAGCACTGCAATTCTAAAAACTCTGAATGTCTTACCTATGTTTACCCCATGTTTATGAATCCATTTGCAATCATGTATTATTTTGGTATTTCAGAAACCATTGGGTTTGTTCTCCTTACTGGATGAGGAGAGTAAGTTCCCCAAGGGATCAGAGCAGTCACTGTTAGAGAAGCTTCAGAAACACCTGGGCAAGAAGCAAGCATTTAAAGCATCTCGCTCAAGCCATGATCTGAGGTTTACCATAGAGCATTATGCAGGAGAGGTGGGTGTTTCATATGTTTGATGTAAACTGTATAATGTATACTTGTGGTGCCAATGGTCTTTAAATATGCAATTTTATATTTACAAATCGCATAGATTTCTTTTGTTTTACCATTATATTGTCTTCGGTATTTTTGTTTAACCATTAGTGAACAGTTGCCTTCAGTACTTACTTATCTCAAAGAACAATTTTTATTTTTCAGATACATAATGAATCTTTGGATGTAGACAGGAAAACCTTAGGTCATAAGATCAACCCCAATACAATATTTCAATATTATAAAACACCATTTTGACCTATCAGTCTATAATTGATACACTTTGACCTCAAGTTTATTGCGACCATAAATTAGCAACTACATTCCAGCCATATCCGGCATTTGAATTTTATGATTATTTTGAAATTCATCAATTTCAAAAATTATTATTCTTGCAAAATATATTTCAATTTCAGGTGAATTATGACATGCATGCTTTCCTGGAGAAGAATCGTGACACACTAGGGGTGAATATAGTTGAGTGTATGCAGAATAGTGACAGTCAGATCGTAGCTGATTTATTTACTCCAAATGGATCATTTGAAACCAAGTAAGACATGATTTTAGATTTCCAGGTTTTAGATTTAAAAAGTTTTTACAAAAATTAGCTAAATTGTGACAAGTGAATGATTTTATGTCTTTTACTTATTTTTTAATAATAAATAATACATTTTTTTCAAAAGATAAGATTTATCTTTGTCACAATTAATACTTCTTAATATACATACTGTTTTAAATTCAAAAATAATTTTATTGTGAAAACAAAATTCACCTTGTATTTATATATTTGTATGGTTGTGTGTATTATTTGTAGCAACAATTCAATGCAGAGAACTAGAAAGTCAGTGCTCTACTGTAAAGCTCCAGATCCAAAACGGTTTGAAAGTTTGTCAAGAAAAGCAGCAAAAAAATTGCTCAAAGAAAAGTAAGTTTTAATTTCAACTGCTTATTAGACGAGTACATATTCTGCCAAGATGTTTTATTAGTTATTTTATTGGTGAATGGTGAATAGGGCCATGTTGCTACTTTATATCACCAGCATTCCTGGTGGTTATAAAGTCTTCAGATCACATTCTTTAAGGAGAATATGAAAGTCAGATTGTATTTTGAAAAAAACTGAACAATATATTTTTAAGAATACAACACAACCCCAAAAATTTGGATTTAGAAAACTGCACAACCCAAGAAATTTGGATTTCAAATAATCAATTTTGTAGAAATCCCAATAGTATGCATTGGGGGGAGGGCTACAATATTTGTATCCAAAACTTAACCTAGCATATTATGTTTATACTGAATAATGTAATGAGTTTGTATTTTAGAGCTAAGCATTCCGGTGCACCTGATTCAGCAGTACAGAAAACAGTCAGTGCCTATTTCACAGTAAGTAAAACTTTAACATTTGTTTAATGAAAATTATTGTCTATATTGTATAGTGTTATTAATTCAGTACTACAGGCCTTGTTGTAGAGAAAGCTCATAGTGTAAATTCACTTTATTATTAGGCTTTAACTTTTTTAATAACTACTTTATTGCTTCTTGTAGAGTTCCCTGACTGAACTGATGAGGAAATTGCTGGAAGCTGAGCCACAGTTTATTAGGTCAGTTCATGTATATACAACTTGTATATCGCCAGAAATACAGACTGCTGGACTTATTCAGTTTTAGTTCACACCATGGATCAAATTTTTTTGTTTTATGCACAACAGTGAATTTAGTAGTTTCTTCTTGGGATATGTGTTTTATTTTTGTAACATTTAGAGTATTTAGTTGATCTTTATCTTGAATGAAGAAGTAAAAATGTATGAATATGTTTTGTTATTTATTAATATATTTTTAGGTGTATAAAACCAAACACTGATCAAAGACCAAACATATTTGACTCCCGAATAATCCTCCAACAGTTGCGTTACACTGGGGTTCTAGAAACAGTGAGGATTAGACGGATGGGCTTCCCTACACGCTTGCCTCTGGAGGTGTTTGTAAAGCGCTACAGAATTATTGCATTTTCTTTCACTGGTCACGTGGAGCCCTCACACGGCAACTGTCGCAGAATCATAAACAAAGCGAACCTTCACAATTGTGAGATTGGAAAGAATAAGGTGAGCTTTATAATGACATATTGCCAGTGATACTACAGTGAAACCTGTATAATCTGAACAGTTCTGAATGCCGATGGGACCAGTCAAAAGTATTTGGATTAGCAGGTATTCACATTTCAAGGTTTTTTATAGGTCAATGGAAGATAAGAAATTTGGTACCAAGCAAAAGTGTTCACATTGAGAAGTAATCGAATTAGATACATGTTTGGATATACAGGTTTCATTGTATTATGTAATCACAGGCCTGTTATAAGTGCTAGACCAGGATGTTTATTCTGAATCTAGTACTATATATACAGAGATAATCTTTGTACTTTCACATAAACATACCACTTGACTGTGCAATACAGTATCTTGTTGTGTTGTAATAATTCTTGGAACCCTTCTAAGATAGCACTTTGTCCTGGCAAACTTAGATAGTTTAACTGCTAAAGACGTTATTGTATCACCACGCTTGTTAATAATAGAAACACCTTGATAAATGGTTTTAAATCAATTACCACTTCATACATTGGAAATGATAGTATTTGTGTGATAAGGAGGGAACTTCAGCTTTCTTAGAAAATCTCATCCATTCTATGATATGTAAACATTTTATCTCATATAATTATCAACAATTGTGAAAGAATGAAGTTAATTTTGTTTGAGGTGGGTAATGAGTGAGGAGTGCTAATTATTTAATACTCAAGTGAAGGACATATCAACATTTTTAAATTTCTCTATATGAGGGGAGGGGAGCAAACCATAAAAAATTCATTTCTCCACAACTGTTGATTAATGGACACAATCCCTAAAATAAAGTATGTTTAATCTCTGTTATTTTCTTGGAATTTTACAGGTGTTCCTGAAATACTGGCACAATGAGCAACTTGACCTTTGTCTGGACAGGGTCATTAAAGACATTGTATTTGTGCAGTCATATGTGAGGGGATTCCTGGCTAGGAAACGTATAAAAGTTATCTTAGCTAACGTGCACAGGTCGAAGAGTCTGTTGTCAACATTCATGGTGATGTTATCTCAGGATACAGAGAGGTTGTTTTATACAATGAATTCACAAAGAGAGCATGATGCAGCGAGACATGAACGAGAGGTAACGATTGCAGCTTTTCTTTATTTTTAAACGTACATGTTCAGTAAATATATATATCTTTTATTGACTCTTAGAATGTCATGGTATGACACATTAGTCAGTCTCATTAAACGTGAGTAAGTGGAACACCTTTTGTACCTCTAAAAAGTGTTCCTCTTGGAGATGTTCCACTTCCAGTTACATTTAAAATTAAGTCAGGATTTGATTCCTTGATGCACATGAAAAATAGAAAATTTGTATAAGTACCTTTTTATTGATAGGTCATAGGACTCTGAAAAGTGTTTCACATATTGATCTTAAAGATGTGTTTCACTTGACAGAATTTTACTGAGCATTTTCATTTCGTTACAATATTACAGAATCACATGTTTAAGATCTGACAAATGGCATGCAATTTTGTTCTTTAGGTTGAAAGACAGCAAGAAGAGGAAAGACAGGCTGAGGTGAAACGTCGTCAACGAGGTCAATTCCGTTATGGCCTAGACACACCCAGAGACTCCATCTATCACTTAGGCCAGCAAGTACCAAACTATAAAGCCCCAGAGGAACCTCTTGCTGACTACACAATAGACCCTAAAAGAGCCACTAAACCAAATGGTTTTATTAAGAAGCCAACATCTGGTTATGATGGCTATGAAAGACCTGTTGTGAAACAGAATATAAAACGAAAACCAACAAAGCATGATCCAAAGTAAGACACTGATTTTGACTGAAATATAGTCACATTCATATTCTGCCTCTTTTTTGTATAGTTAGTTTTCTAACCATTTTATCTAATTTCCATGTCGTCAGCCCCCTATTTAGATGTCTTTGTATATCCTTAATATTAAGAATAAGATTTTCCTGTGTTTCCAGCCACCAATATTTCAGTCATGACACACTTCAATCTAATGCTGGGACAGCCATCTATAATGAAAGTGAATTTGAATACAGTGAATTTGGGCATTACAGTAGGGGAAAGGTGGCGCTACCCATTGCACACTTGGCAAATAAACCAAAGCGACTGTCAAATGTTGACTTTTATGATGTAAGTTTCTTTTTTATCAAATATACATGTACAGTATTGTAATCGATTTTCAAGGTATCATCTTACCCATAATAGAACTCAGCTAATTCTATGTTTTATTTCATTATCTCTAAATGTTCATTCTCCATCTTTAATCAGCAGATCGAAATGAGTAGATAATGCTATCATTATTAAAACATATTTTGTTTGTTTGCCAGGATATACTGCATGAGGCCATCGATAAATATGGTGAGCTAAGTAGAGATATCTGGAGCAAGATCCTATATGTTGAGAAAGATGCAATACTTGCCAAGTTCTACGTGAATGAAACTGAAGTGCTAATAGATGGCAGTGATGTACAATATACCGGTGACACGTGAGTATACAAAACGACTTATTGGTTAATTTGGAACACAAAGATTTGGGGACATTATCACATTATGTTTGAAATGTGTTTGGGTTTGTGGGTCCATAATTCAAACAAAAATAGATATGACAATCTGATTGAATTGTTACTTTATATGTGTTTAATAATTGATTGTATGTAAAACAAAAACATGAAGAGAAAAATGGTTGACCACATGAATTACATATTGTTGTTTTTAGGATTGGACTTGGATCCATTGACAATCCAAACAGAGATGAAAAAAGTAAAAAGATCAGGGACTTTATAGGAAGAGTAAGTAAAATGATAGTTCAATCACATGTACAATGGATTCTGATTAAGTGACTGCTTGCTTACCAGCCAGAAGTTTTCAAATTGAGAGGTTTCCACAATATTGTGCTACTAAGTTGACAAAAGGCCTTCACTGGCTGGAACTGTCTGTTGACCTTGCTGTAGGGTAAATATGCCAGTTCTTCAACTTGGTCAAAAATGGGGAGAACTGTTCTACCTTTATTGATCATGGTTCCATGATAGTGTAGTATGACCATGAAATATAGGATTTGGACCAAGAGGTTATGCCCAGCTTCAAAGGTGGTAGATAGAGAAATACAAAAAAACTTTTAAGAGCTTTAGTTGAAATAGTCAATGGAACCTCCAAAAAATGTTGCCATAAAAATCCTCACATTTTAAGGTGTTCATCCTGTAGAGTTACAGTAAAACCTGTATATTCAAAAACCTCTCAATATGGTCACTTTTTCCCAATATTGTTATCTCCCATTGACTCACATATTAAGAAACATTGAATGGAAAAGCATGCATCCAAACTCATGGCCTCTCTTAATGGTGTTTTGATTAGACACAGTTTTCTTCTATTTTCCTTTTGAGGGGCATTTGATGAAATGAGCAACAAGTAGTTTTATTTGAAATGCTACAAATCATTTTGATATGTTCTATATTTTAGGGACTGATTCTGAAACATGATAATGATGGGAGCATTTGGGCCACGAGGATCTGTAAAAATGATATTATTGTGAAGGGCTATGAGAATCCAGCTCAACACAGTCTCTCGGAGGAAGTTGTACTAGAGATGGGGAGACTGCCCATGAATAAACCAGTGAAGGTACATACTAGACCTTTAGGTCACACATCCTGCAGTGGATTTGAAAGTCCACAGTAGTGTATGCTAACTTGCTGTACATTTCTGTAATTTATAAAGTATACATAATTTGAAAAGCAAATCTGTAACATTCCACATCATTGCTTGAACTCCAAACTTACAATATTTACATTCTTAATGTGTCCTCCATTGTTAGGTGTTTGACATGAAAGAGTTCAAAAGTCATATGGCCCTCGAGATGTCAACGAACCAACCAAGGTCACATCGTCTACAACGACAGGCAATTGTTGCCATCAGTTTTGTGCGTAACACTATCGAAGATTTACAGACTCCATGTTGGATTTGCATTGTCAATTTTGCTGCATTAGATGCTTTGGAGAATGAAAAAGGTAATGTATTTATTGCACTCCATATGGAAATATCAATAATGTAGAGATCAGTTACATTAAGTTGTTTTGTCGTTAGCTTCCATATGTCCAGAAATCATTTTGCTGGATTTGAACCTGTGTTCTGCTATTTTTGAATAACCTGTGTTTTGAATGACTTTACTTATCAGCAGATACCAAGGAAAGACCAATTTGTGCAAGAATACTTGGCAGTAAACTGAGAAGAGTTTCACTGCGTCTGACATTAATTCAGCCATATATTCATATACAAACTGTCACAACCAAACCAACAAGCATCTAATCTTTGCTCCTTACCTCCCTACTAGATAGTACACTTTATAATTTCAGTATTGATGGAGGTACAGAATCTCTCCCATCTGAATCTTAACCGCCCTCAGTCCTCAACTTCACAGAGTAGTCACTCTCAGGATCCACCCCCACAGAGACACAGGTCCTATGCATACAGGGACTCGCCACAGAGGAGCTCACGTCATCAACGCAATGAACTCAGAAAGCAGGGAAAAGTAGTTGGGGATCATGATGAGTACAGTTGGCATGAAAAATATTATGGTAGGTCATAATTGATGCCTTGATGGAATATTTATTTTGGTAAATATTTTTGTTAGTAAAGTGCAATTAATCCTAATGAATTGGTTTTGATCAATACAAACATGCTCTACTTCAAATCGAAATAATGGAAACCCATCTCATCTGTTTTGAGGGTTAAAACTTTATCTTTGGAATAATCTGGGTACACCAACAACAAAAAAACAACTTAAAAACATCTTGGCTTAACAATCTCAAGATCAGGATACAGGATATATCACTAACTTACGTATCTCCCTAAAGCTCTACTGGGCATAAGATATTGCGTTTTATTGGAGGTTACAATCTTCACATTTTGTCCTATTTATTATCTGCTCTTGAGGATATATTATCTAATGACTGCAAATGTGCTGGAATTTGCCTTGATGAATTCTTATTCTAATACTGAACATGTATAAAATTATCTTATTGAGATATTTGTGTTTAGATTCACCCATGCCTCGCAGGAGCTTCAAGATGAAGAACTCAAAGATAGAAGAGGAACATGAAGAAGACAGAGCAAGTTACTACAAGGGACCTGGTAATACTTAAGTTTATGATTTTCCATATGGCCATTTAATTTCATGAAAAAATATCACTTGATAACTTGTATACCAGTTGTCAGATTTGGTACAAATGTTATGTGCCATCAGCTGCCTTGTTATTTCTGTCACATAGTCTAGTTCTGATGAAGTATTCCAAAAAACATTTTTTAATTTGTACTTTTATTATGTAATTGCAGATTTTGTGGATTCCCTTGTGCAGGATAGACGGCCCTTTAGTTATACAGAGCCATCTGTTGTGCCCCAGGGAAATGCATATGGCAACAAATATAACCCTATCAGAGTAAATTCATCTCCACGCAAGAACTGGGCCAAGTTTAAATAGATAATAAAACATGCTTTCAAGGCGACTCAAATATGCAGTTTGGAACTAGATCTTCCAGAGATTTTTAACTTGAAACATTTTAATTGTTTCAATATAGCAATTCCATGACATAAACATTTCTCCAGGGTGAATATACATGCCACTTCAATCTAAATGAACTTGTAGAACTCTGGTGAGATACGATTGGTCTATTGACCAATGTATATTGGAAAGTAACCATAACTAATGTGTTCTAACAGGGTGACACAGTATTATGTACTACATGTATTTATAAATGTTGTCTCACGTCAACTGGCACCAATGATATATGTCAAACACAATACAACATTTACTCTAAACAAAACCTTTATGTAACTAATAATATACTGATGGTATTATATGCTTTCAGAAGTAAGCCAGCAATCCATGTGTAATGAGAAAATGTGCAAATACTTCTATGTGAGTTTAAAATGTATTCAATAGATGTAAATAAGATGTTTCACTGTATTTCAATGCTTGTTAAATATTAATATTGTGTTTACTCTGATGCATGTACATTATTTGAACATTTTCCTGAAAATATTTATATACAGATATAAAATGATATTTAGGTCATAGTTGTAGACAGTGTAATGTATTTTTTGTTTTATTTAAGAGCAAATATAGCTCCATCTATGTTGTTTATGTACTCTGTGTATATTTTATATGAGAGCAAAGAGAGTTCCATGTTTTTTTTTGGTCTTAAAGTTTTAAGGTGAAAGGGAGGATGCAAGCATTTTGACTGCCATCATTTATGAGATGTCACAGCAACAAGTGGTGACATATTGTTATAGTCTTCAACTTTTTTGTTGCAGCATTTGAAATTTGGTGTCTGTAACAAATGGCAGGTGGTGTCATTCTGCATGTTTTTGCCTTGTAATAATTCTATTTCATCAATGTACCATTCCTGTAGTTGCATCATGACCTTTATATGTATTATTATTAAAATGGTGTAAATTATCCTCTTGATCAACATAGAAATCATGTTAATGTTAAGATAAAATATTAGATCAGGCAATATTAAATGTGTTATTTATGAATAAGAATGTGGCCATACATATCTTTTATATTTCCGTTTTGATATCATTTGGAGGCTGGACCTCATGTGATCTTGTGATATTCCAATGTGTTGATTTCGATGTTTGCCTTTGTTATGTTCATTGTCAGTTATTATGTAAGTTATGTATGTTGTGGTTCATATATGATTTTTATAAATGGTAGCAATGAACAGTGTATGTGTGGTTAACTTCATTTAAAATATGACTGATCCATTAACGGGTATTCAACTTTGTTTTGTTTTTAACACACATTTATCACATTTGTCAGGAACTTGATGTTGTGCAGTTTTGTAAGCTATAAATCCATTTTGAGACATACACTGCTGATACTTGTAGGTACAATTTTGATTGTGTAAAATACTTGTATTACAATTTATACATTCATGATTTCATAACCATTTTTAAGTCACCAACATGAAGTGGTGTCATATTGTTATAGCAACTGTTTTTGTAACTGATGTTCGTTGTAAGAGTCAGTATTTGACATAACAAATGGTTACAGTTTTCTTATTGCAACCATTTTGCTGAGTTGCTAATTTGCAATTACGAACCCTATGTGAACTAATAATAAAAAGTAATATTCAAACACAATTTTATGAACTGTACTGTACAATGAAATATACACATGTTAAAGTAATGATATATGATGTTTTGTTATACATGTTATACTTTGAAAGAAGAGTGGGGAGACATTGTTTCAGTGACCGAAGTCTCAGGTCTGTTCCTTCAGTTAAGAGAATCAAAAACAGCTCTTCCAAAGAACCGGTCTTAAACTAGCTTGTTACACTATTACCTTTTTCAAGATGCCATATTAAGAATTCAACAAATAGTATAATATAAAATAAAACACAAAAAAAAATTTGCTTCTTAGAAGTTTTTTTATTTTTAGAAAAATTGTTTTTTGTATACACACAGTTGTATAAAATGTTTGAGGGGTAAAATATCACTTCTTAATGATCAGTGACAAACAATTTGGGAATAGATTGTCAGCTTTCTAAATGAAAACACTAGGGGAGTTATTGCACTCGTATTACATGTTAATTCACAAACAAACAGTGATTATATTACTATATATAACATTATGATTTGGAGTACTTCATTTATACATGTACATTGTACACTGAACCATTAGTAGAGATAAGAGGAGGAAAATTCTGTAAATGAACAACAATTTGTCAAGATTGAATGATATTCTGTCAAGTAGAGCACATAATTTAAAAATCTTGATGGTTAATTTCATTGGACGTAGGCCACGATGAGTCATAGTAAAATTAATAACTGAATTCAGTTCAGCTTTGATGGTCTTAAAATGTAAAAAAATTAATTTCATATATCTTGCATGGGTGCTACCTTACAAACCTGAAATATTTTTTGTTGAATCTTTAATATTTTTATCCAATGTAAAACTTCCATTAATATTACACATCCCTGATCACGACAATGTTCCCTCTATTCCTTGGCCTTGGTGCAAAATTCAATTATTATTTAAACATGGACAAAATACATATAACGCAAACTGCCAAAAGAGATCTGAACTCCAATTGTTCAGTTTATAGTAAAATGTAAGTGATCCATCATAAGCACAATAAATCCCTTTTCAATGTGATAGCTCACACACAAATAAATAGATATAACATTACTAATGTACATGATATTCATCCGTTCATATTCATTCATTGTAAAAGCGTATATCTGAAAACAGACATTGTCACATTAACATTAAACAGGCACATATGGCTTCCTCTTTACACTATAAATAATTGAGGGTGACATCCGCTTTGATGTTATCAATACATGGCATTGTTATTCTGGTAAATCAATGTTGGGTTTTATCACACCTCTATCAAACTATTTTTGTTTATTTGCACTCAGATCATTCTCAGATCGCTCACTTTTTGTGTTTGCATCCTTTTCAGCTTTCAGACTGCTCATTAGTTTTTGCTTCATTATCAGCTTGCTTTATTGTTTCTGGTTCATTTTTGTTTGTATTTGCTTCCTTCTCAGCTTCCTCTAACTCCGCTAGTTCATCTTCATCAAGTTCATGAATTCTAGCTCCAGGGATTTTACCTGGAATATCAGAGTCTTCTTCCTGGATTCCATCTAGTTTTGCATCCTCTTCTTCCTCTTGTTTCAGCCTCGCCTCAGCAACAGCTTTTTCAATTTCACGTCTACGTTTAGATTCTCGCACCTTTTTCTTGGCTTCAGTTTTAGCTGACTCACCAGCATCTGTTCGTTTAACAAGTTCATATTCCACAGCTTTTTCAAGACATGCTTCTGCACATTCTTTAGCTTGTGCCCTCTCTGGTTCCTGTAGACATGTGATAGCCAGAACAACCTGCAATACAATCAACATTTTGCCAAATGAAATCTGGGTCGGAAGACTTTAGATCTAAAATCTAAGTTCAACGAAGTTATTATGAGCTGTCTGACAATTTAAGTTAACCAGTGCTTTCTCAGAGAGAATTATCCAATCACCCGTGTTTGGTAACATATGACCTTGACCTCCTATGATCTCTCCATAGACCTTCTAGGGACACTGCATGATGTAGATATGCTTGCTGATATCCTCATTTTCTCAGAACTCAAGTTGATCGAATCTCAACAAGTAGATTATGTGACATTGGGCTTGCTTTTTAGCTGCTTGTTAGCTCTAATTAGCATGTTTGTTGATCCAAGGTTATTATTGCTTTATAGTAAGAAAATGTTTTTTTTTGAAACTTACCTCAAACATTGAGCTCTCCACCACTTTGAGCGCTAATTCCTTGGAGTGTTCAAATACGTTCATTATGGTGTAGAGTCCCCTGTGTTGTATGTCAGCATCCTCATTGGCACATACAACTTGGAATATCTCACACCATGATTTAACCTAAAACAGTTTTAATGCAATGTAGCAAACTACAAAACAATGGAATTAAAAAAATGCAGATGATGCCTAACAGAGATGTCTCTTAAAATCATTAAAAAAAGTTTAACATCATTTTTGATTTAATAAAAAAAAATCAATATACCACTTTTAGTGATATTCAAGAACCCACATCTGTCTCCTCATACGCCTCTTTAACATGATCTATCAACTAACCTGCAGGATTTTCTCACAGATGACTTTCTCCCGTGACAACATTGCCAGAGCCCCAGATGCAGCCTTGGCCAGCTTCATGTCATCCACTCCACTGTATAGCACCAGCAACTTAACCCTGTCATTTTCCCCCAGGTAGAGATTAAATACCTGTAAATGGCAGATTTGTTACCAGGTATATACAATGTCTATTGAGTGACCTATTACTGTTAGAAAGACAATGACCAAATCATTAAAACGCTGAAACTTTTCTTCACTTCTGAAGAATTTGAGCATTAATAGGATTGGAATATTTATTGGTTTTTGTTTCATAGATACTAATGTATTCATGTCCGGCTTAGATTTTTAAATAATAAATTAACTTATTCAAACAATTTACAAGATCATTATTTCTCTTATTGGAAGAACTATAATAATTTGAATGACTGATCTGAAATATACTTTTTATTTTAGCTTACATGTATTTATTAACTATTGATTGAGAATGATAGTTGTGAAATCAATGGAAAGTCATTTGCCTACCTCCTCAGTGAGAATCATATTGCACATGCACTCAGTGGCAGCCCTACGTATCATCTCATGTTCCTCATACATATAGCCCTCTATTGTGGCCACTCCCCCCTCAGACACAATACGTTTCCTGGCTGTATCATTCAGTGATGCGATGTTTGTGAGACACATGAGAGCCTCAAAGTTCTGCAGGCCCTGGTTGTCTGGGTGGAGGAGATGTATCATAGGACGGACAACCTCAACACACTACAGGAGAAAAATAACATGTTTTTGTTATGCAACAATAGATTACTGTTTTCACTATAAATGTTGCATGTAACTATATGTAAGCAATAGTTTACTACCTATATGTGCCAAATGTGCCTTTATAAATACTCGGGTGAGTAAATATATTAAATAGAAATACTAAAAGGAGTGAGTCTGACCCAAGGGTCCATATGAAGAAATAGGGATATATATCAATGAATTGCACACTAGATGTACTTACCCTCTGTCCAGGGAAGGCTATATCAGGGTTCATTGTGATGCCAATCTTAGCAAGACTCTGGGCAGCTAGGATCTTCCCTACATCTGTTCCCTCCAGAGACAGATTGATCAGGGCCTAAAAATACAATTGCTGAATATCAGCTTCCAGGGAACACGATTGCATGTATAAAACATAGAAGAACCATAATTTGTAAAGAAAATTTAGAGAATTTATCTTATCGCTTCATTCGTGTAGGATATAAATTCGGCTTATGTCATATGTGCAACTGTAAATCGTATAGGACCAATTTGTGAATTCTGTTTGCTGATGTTTTATTTCTCTATGTTTGTCTATATTTTTACTATGAAACCATTATTCATATTCTAGAGACTTCCTACCTTGACTGCTCCTTGTTGAACTAACAGACCTCTGTTCTCTTCATAGTATGAAACTGCCAGGAAGGCACGTGACAACAACTCCTTGGAACTAGCACTGTCTGTTTTACTAAGAGCCACAAGTGCATTCCCTATGCCTGCCTTCACTAGTTTTGCAACACGCTTATCAACATACTCGGATTTGTCCTACAAAATAAAAGACAATGTACATCTACATGTATTGCATCAAATCTTCAATTAAAACTGCAACCATTTGTTTTTAAAGAAAGATAATATCATAGCTTAGCTAGCTGTTTCGATCAAATTTTCCAAAAGAGGTACATACTGGTGCATGCAATTCAGATGATATTTTAAATTTTCCCAGCAATGGATGAATTTTTGGAAATTTTTTACTGAGTGTATCATGAACAAGTCTGCAAAATATAGACGATATGTCACAAATTATTCTAGTATTGTCAAATTTAATACAGTATGTCAAAATATCCTATATCAATGAAAATGTCACTTATCCAAAAAAGTGAGCCACTTTTTGACAAGTATTTTCTAAGCAAATAATTAACCAAATTCAAAATGAATTTTTTACAAAGTGGACAAAGAGTATCATCAGCAATTCTTATAAATATGAAAGAGATCAGTTACATATCATGCGAGTGCAAATTCAAAACATTACCTTTTCGTGTTCCTCTGGTACATGTTGTTTGGCATACTTGGCAAGTTCCAACATCTCTGGCATAATATCCTGTTTGTCATAGCTGTTTGTACAGTTGACAAACACTTGGGCTGCTGGGTAGAGGATTCCTTTATCAGAATGCTATAGAAGAGATCAACATAAAGTACATTAACAGAAATGCATCAATGCGATGCTTTCAAAATAAGCTCAAATTTCAGAAACTCAGCTCTGACATCCTTTTAAAGCAGATGCCTATTATAAGTAGATACTAACCTATAATAGTATCAATAACATGAATAGAACATGAAATCTAGAGGTGGAATATATCCAGCTGATGTATCATTATCGTACCTTTGCAAGATCCATGAGAGAATGTAGAGCAGGAGTGTCATCCACTAGGTCTTCCTTGACATCTGCATCCAAGGTAAGGTATGCAAGGCCCTCTGTGGCCCACTTACGCAGATCAACATCTTTACTGGGATTCTTTAAGTATCTAAACAAAACAACATCATGTTCACTATACTGTACATTTCTATTATGTATTGGTTATTCGAACATGACTATATTCACGCCGTCTATAAACTGTAAACAAAGCCAATATTTCAGCTGGGTTATATTCAAGATCAATAACCCAATTAACACGTGTAATGTGTGATGTCATAATGGTGGGTCATAGTAATGGCGATCCATGATGAATATTCGAAACAATTTGGTGAGTTTTCATGTTCGAATCATAATATAGACCTCAGAGCAGGGGTAATATCGTCGAATACACCCCTTGGGGCTAGGCACAAAAGCTTTCGAACCCCTCACTCCCTTCGGTCGTTCGGGGTACAGAAAACGTTTGTACCTAGCCCTGCAGGGTGTATTCGACGATATAACCCCTGCTTTTCGGTCTATATTTCTTTATTCAAATATTATACGTGATGTCACAATAGCTAGAACAATTGATTTTCTGGTCTATAATGGAGTATGTATGACTGCTAAAATTCATAAATCCAATAAGTTGTGTTTCTTGTCTGTTTACCATATTAGAATCGTAACAAAGACCTCGATTTTGGGTCATATTTGGGTCATATATCACACCATGAATCATAAAATCTCAGCCTTTACTAATTAAATATGAAAAATCCAATATAGAGTCAATTACAGGATGTTATTGTACACAATTTTTCAATTCTAGGTTTAAACAGATATGATAGATAAATTTCCAGGATAGACAAAGCGTATATACAACTCCTTAAATGCAGAGTTGCAACCCATCTCCTTAAATGCAGAGTTGCAACCCATCGATGTTGTTAAAAGTTACTAGCCATGTGTTTCTAGTCCTTAGGATTCATCCAATTTATGGAACTCAATTCAGTTTAAGAATTTTTTAAATATCATTACCAAGATTTATTCAAAAAATTATATTACTCACTTTCTACAAGCTTTTGCTAGTGTCGTATTGGATCCATCTGCAAATGACCTCATACTGACATCAGTGCCCCCTATTGAGCCTAGCTTACACAATCCCTGTAAAACACATATAAGATGTTTACATAATCAAGAAACCTGTTCTAACATGTTCTAAGAGATTGTTAAACTCTTATGATCCTGGTTCTATTATTTTGCAATTCTTACTGATCAATAACGATCATAAAATTCAAGAAAAATTGAAGAAAAATATCATGTATTTAATGGTCCCTTTTCCAGAAGCTTGAAAATCTTTCATATAACTTACCACAAGGGCTCTGACTTTGATTGTTTCATTTTCCGTCTGATAGAGTTTCTTGAGAATCGGGACAGCCTGTTTAATTATACCACTGGACTTCTGCTTCTTGGAGGTTGAGTGAACCATTGCTTCTATGGCAACTTTCTGCAAAACAAAATATGATTTATGTACGACAGTGTCATGATTGGCATCATTTTTATATATAAGGTAGGCTTATTTGAATCAGTTTAATTTGGATCATACAAATAGCCTTGGATACTGATACCATACACTACTAGGCCTAAAATCCACTCCACTTGACCTACCTAAAATTAGTGGTGGTATAAGATTTAAACAGTAGTATCACAAAACACAATCCATTTAAAACTACATGTGCCTTACAGAATGGTCTAAAATGGTCTAAATATGTACCTGGAAAAGTGTGTTTTCAGAGCCTGCCATGGCTAGCATTATCTCTAGTACCCCCTCTCTACTGAGGATATGGTTCCCTATGTCGAATGGTCCCTGAAGAAGAGCTGTTACTGCTTTCACTGCCTCAACTTGTGACTCTATGTTCTTATCTGTAAAGTTATCTCTGAAACAACAAGCTTGATATTACTAATACTGTTAACTAAAATATACTGTACATGCATATAATATTGAGATTTGTGATAATTCACATAAAATACATACTTAGTACAACAGGGCATACTAAGCATGTAATCCGCCAGAACCCACGGATGATTCAAAAAGGTATTCGTGACATTGAGAGATGAGTCAATCTATGTGTAGAGAAATGGTGGTCATGTGAAGGGGTATAGAATATAATCTTTCACTTACGTAAAATAGGCATCAACTTTTTCTCTGTATATTTCTCTCTCTTTGTCTGCCAGCATATCATCATAGAGTTTCTGCAATGCTACGGATGCGTGCATCTGTGAGTTGTCGGTCACTGGCATAGTTTTGTATTCCTTAATACAACCAGCAATCTCCATAAGCTTATAGAGACCCTCAGTGTACTCGATGAATGTACGGGTCCATCCAACACCTCCTTGACGCGCCACAAATTTGATAAGAATTTCAAGTAAGGAGTCACGCCCACATCCAGATATCTTGCTACTGGTTAAAATACCAATAATAGCATTGAAGATTTCATTTATCATCTTTTGCTCCTCATCCTCTGAAACAGATATCAATCAGTATGCATATTTTAAACTTAACGAAGACAGGATTTTCAAATGTAACTCAAAAAGAATGTCACGTCACATACCCATTTTGAATGCTTTAAATGGTCTAAGATGTCTGTCAACCTTCTTCTTGCGCTCATGGGCTTCTTTCTCCTCATTGTACTTGCTCACTCCACTGATAGATTTGATGAGGTTCTGTAGAAAGTAGGCCCCTGCTGTGGAAATATCTTCATCAGGCACACCAATTCCCAACAGAATCTTTTGCATCCCTAACTTGGTCAATATCTCAATGGACTGAAAGAAACAAAAGTTCATTGTGCATTGTGATAAAAATCTACAATATTTACGCTTTTATTTTCCACTGTACTATTGGGTGGGTTTCACATTTTTACAAACTCAAAAGTTCTTATTTTACATTCTTTGATATTTATTATTTTAGATTGATATAACTTTCAAATTCCAATCACCAAGGCAATTTTACACACATGAATAAATGCACTGATTAAAAATTGAATATCAGACTTAAATTTTCCTAGAGCTCACTTCAGGTTCTGATCACATTATGCATGCTGTGCTTATTTCGAAGATTTTAATACGGATTCCACTTTCTGACAAAGGACTGCACTTTTAATCAAGTGACTCAATCAGAAGCATTTCTCAACTAGATCTCAAGCTCTCTGGGACAAATGAGAACTTGATAATCATTAAAACCTCTATTGGAATATCAGAATCCAAACTGGCGAGCACAGCCAATTTAAGATACATTGCCAATATAGGTCATGTTGCTGAGGTGTTGTCAAATTTTCATATTGGGTTCACTTACTCTTTCTTTGTTCTCCTTAGTAAGACACTGAAGTACCCTAACAGCAGCTAAAGCCAAGGATTTGTCCTTTATACTCAATAGTTCTATGATCTTGGGAATACCACCAGCTTTTACTATCTTCTCAGCACCTGATTCCTCTCTAGCAAGAACTATCAGGTTATTAGCAGCCTACAATTGTAAAGTGTAGTGATGTACAGTAAATGATAGAATGTTTGAAGAAATTAGTGATAATTTAGTTTTGGTATAAACAGACCAATCTGCACTTTTTTCCTTTACTACACTAAAGACAGATTGTAAGCACAGAGAAAATAATACTTTGTTTGCATCATGCTGATGACATATTTATTTCATATGATGAAGTATTTACAAGATGTGAAAATTTTGATTATGATTGCATTCTGGTATACATGTTTCCAATTATCAAAATAGTATTTTCAGTAGTTATACAAAGTTCAGTATTGACAAGGTAACCTAATCAGTTAATTTCATAGACAGTAATACATATTACAAGTAATATTATCCCAGTATAAAGGTTTGATGGCATTAAGCTACTGGCAAACAGCTTCCTTACTTGTATTCGTTTTTCATTATCTCCTGACGAGTGGTTAAAGACGAGATCAAACATTTGAGATACTTTGCTGTCAAGGCTCGCAACTTTTGAAGTCTTCTGTTGAATGACCATTGTGAGTTGACGTAAGATTGGTTGAATTGCAGCATTCTTAGGGTCTACATTGAGTAGCTGTCTGGCATCTTTGTACGCATCTTCATACTTTTCTAGGTGTTGGTATGCTTGACAGCGTCTGAACAGAGCTTTTGGGTCATTTGGAGATATCTCTAACGCTGAAAGTAGAAAGTCATTAGAGAATCTAAATAAGATGTATTGTATCTAGACAACAAACTCTCCTTTCTCACTTAAGGGAGAAACTTTCCTATCCATAGCCTTCAACTTTAGAAAAAACATAGCTTCTCCCTTGAGGGGAGCCATAACAGTTTCTCATATAACATACCCACTTGTCAAATGTAGTAACATTTAATAATTGAATGAAAAATTGTACATGTACATTAAAATGCTTGCTTTTACCTGAAGTTGTATCCTCTATAGCTGCACTGTATTTCTCAAGTTTCAAGTGACAGGCAGCTTTGTTCTTGAAATATGTTGCCTTTTCTTTGTCACCTTCTTCACTCAAAGATAAGGCCTTTGCGTAGCAAGTCAGGGCATCCTCATATTTGCCCTGCTTGAAATATGTGTTCCCTTCCTCCTTCAACTCCTTTGGTTCTGGCATTTTTATCTGAAAGTCATGAAATGCATAAGTTAATCTCATTCTTACAGTGGATGGTGCATTTAGTGTTAAAGTACAGCAAAGAATAAAACTTGTGATTTGTTAGAAGTAGACTTTCACTTACAGTAGAAATGTCCATTTGCTTGTTCTGAAGGGGATGATACATACATTTACTAGCAAAATCATTGGCAGATAACCTTAATAAAAACTCAACGATTATCATGAAATGAAGTCAGAACTTACTGTTGGGCTTCTCAGGAAATAGGCATGACATGGGAAGCCAAATATATTGTAAAGTTAAAATTCTTTAGAGGAGCTTTAACTTGTCTTTTTGCACCTTTAAAGGCACTTCTGTATGGAAGTTTCCTTGGTTTGGATATTCATATTGAATAATTTACACAAAGGAGTGATATCGATATGGTGAACCTTTTGGACACACATTTCTCTTAAACCAGTAATCAAAACATTCTGAAAATGTTACACATCGTCAATTTAATGGTCATCTTTTGGATGGTAACACTATAATTTAAAATATATATAAATACTTTTTTCTATATCGTTTTAGAAAACACTTCAGACACTCCTTTTGTTATTGGTATCATATGTTCGGAATGAAATGAAACATCTATCCGAACCTCATTGGAACAAAACGACATAAACACGACGTGTTTAGGTCTCTCAATATTGTAATTGTACAAAGGAAAGTTTGGTTGATTTTAAAAAAGAAATCTTGTTAATGAAATAAAAGGTTTATCTTAATTTCTATCTATTTTGGGGGGTTTTGTTTTAAGTTTTTGCATACTTTTTGTTAAATCAACCAAACTTTCTTTTGTATAACTACAATATTAAGAGGTATAAGGAAATGTTGTATATGCTATTTTGTTCCAACAAGGTTCGGAAAGACATTTTATTTCATTCCCAAGAATTGGTAGAAAGGAACAAAAAACAATTGCACTAAAAAAACAAAAAATGTTAAAAAAAACAGCTATATAAAATATATATAAATAATTTTTGCATAAATTGTTGCCAATCAGTCAACATTACATAAAGGACTGTGTTTTTTTACAGAATGTTTTCAATAATTGGTTTAAGAGAAAAACATTGTTGAATTCAGTTCACCATATCGATACCTATCCTTTATAATGTAGAAAATATAATCTCAATCTCCATTAAAGTTTAGTGATCTGCCCATTTTAGTAGCAGGTAAAATATTTTCTGTACAATATGTTAGAAAGGATAATTCATTTTCCATGATATTCTAGCATGGGGTTTTATAGGGGGATATATTGTGAGAATCTACTTGAACTAGAAATAACATGTTTAAGAAATTAGTATGGAGATTTCAAATCGCTTTGAAAAAATCAACATTTGATGTACTTGTATATTTCTTAGTTTTGCAAAGAAATCTATAAAAACAAAAAATTCAGTGATTCCTTTTTTATACACATCAGGCACGTAACCAGGCGTACGCAAGGGTACGCAGTTGCGTACACCCTAAATGATGGAGCAAAATAATAAATTGTTATAAAAAATAAAAAAAGTAAAGCAAAATATTTTGTTTCATGATCTTTTCTGGACTACCTCTCTTCAAGACTCCTGACAAGTACCATTTTTCCATTCTGGTTGCATCACAAACAACGTATACAATAATAAATAGTTATCACTTACCAGCGCAATAATTAGATATTACACTTTATCACATACTATGTAAAATTCCAGTAATCTGATTGGTTGGTTACCATGTGAGTTTTCCCGTCTCACACGGCCGTCTCACACGTTACTAGAGGCAACCAGTGATGACGTTTCATATTTTAAAAGAAAACAGTATGACGTCATATTACTTCACAAGAAAGTATGAATGCAACGGTATGACGTCATATTATTTCAAAGCGAAATTTCAAAACACACAAAAATGGTAATAGTTACCGTGAGTACAGAGTACTGAACTGAGTCATACTGTCCAAATCAAAATGCTTCATTATTCCTAGACATGTGATAAAATCGTCATCACACGTTTCAGCTTATGTGATACAGGAAATATTCCACTCGGGTAACAATGTATCACCACTCAAGCTTCGCTTTCGTGGATGATACAGTATTACCTTTCGTGGAATATTTCCTGTATCACATGCTGAAACGTGTGATAACTGATAGTATAGCATACTTACCTGGATATTACTATGATTCACTGTGATGATTTTCACATCCATTTCATTGATAGTAAAACTGAAGTCGATTATGATTGTCTGCTTTTGTCAATTGTAAAAGTTGTGAGTCAGTTCAAACAAGAAACAACAAAGATCAGCTGATCGACAAATCAATCGAATCCATGCATTTTCGCATGGAGAGTAATTAGGTGAGGAGCTAGTGAAGTTAGCTAACTGGAGGAAATAACAAGTAGTGTTTTGGGTAAAACAGGTAGCAAATCGCTACCTTAGCAATGCTAATTTCCAGGCCTGACTATCACACTAAACTAGTTCTCACTACATTCTCAAAAACGGTCTTAAACTGTGTACGAACTGATTCGATGTACTAAGAACCATTTAGAGTCTATTTACAAACTTCATACGCGAATGGGTAGGTTCTCCGGAACTCAGAGCATGTTCAAATTTTCTGATGGTCGTCACATACTGTAAATAGAACAGATAACAACGTACTTAAGACAAATTGGACGTACTACGAACGGAACTGTTGTATGTACTTAAACCCGAGTAGGGACGTTTTTAGAACGAAATTAATTGTTCGAAGATGAATTGAGAATGAGGTAGAACTAATTGCAAACAGGTCTAAACTGATTACGGATGTAGAAAGACTGCATATGAACATGTCTATTGAATCCCCATGATATGAACACATCAAAGGAGTTGCCATTACATTCTTAAAAACATTGCCGAACTATTCAAACGGAATGAACGTAGCTGCAACTTTCTATTTACAAACTTCATGGACGTGCTCGAATGAAGAAGGTGATTTAGAATTTTGAATCATTTCAAAATTTGATGGTGACCATGCTGTTCTTTGATTAGATTGTGCATAGCACCCATGGATTGTGTGACAATGTACTTCAAATGAGATGACCTACTAGACTAGGAACGTAATTGCAGCACTTCGACCCTACAAGGGACGAATTGATCAGGCCTATCAATTGCAGAACGTGTACATACTGACATGGTACGACCTGAATGTACTGCGAATAAAATAAACGTATTGAAGATTGTTTATGAAAGAAGAACCATATTTCCCCAGATTTAGCCTGTTTTACAGCTTTTTATATGACTGGAAAGAAAGGTTGAGAACTAGTTTGGTGTGATAGGTGGGTTAGGTCTAAAATCAAAAAATTCCGGGGGCAGCCGATTGCCCCCAAACACCCTAATTTTACTAGGCCTTCGGCCTCGCGTACCTGCTATCAAAATCCTGGTTACGCCGCTACATTTTACAAAACAAATCTTCTTGCCAGTCTTTTATAGGTTCATTACTGCACTCTTTGTGCAAAACTGAAAGACTTACCTTATCGTCGAGATGTGCTTTTTTCATAGCATCTCTTTGTTATAACACAGACAAATCTTTGAAATAATCTTACCTTCATATCAGTGCTTATAGTAAAGTTGATTCCCTAAATCATGAAACTGTCACTTTGCACTTCTTCAGTGCGAGTTCAGTCCCAACTACAAATCTACAACTTGTTTCAAATAAAGATATAGGCCCAAACTCCAATATTGTATCCAAGATATGAATATTGCAGTATAGTTTCTAGAGTCATCTAGAAACTTCTGGCACATAAATATTCACATACAACCAATCAAGGTGCTATTTTTACACTGGCTTAGTTCAGCTGGGGAAATAAGATCCGATTCACAGGCATTTGGGTTATTTTTAGACCAAGGGTTTATCGATACCACGCCGTGTTATCGGATTAGATTTCTCTTTTTGAATACATCCTATGCAATCTATAAATACTTAAAAGACAAAATTTATACTTACTGTATTGATAAATTGCTTTAAAGGTAGATAATTTCAACGAGAAATGATGAAGAAAGTTTAAAACTTTTTTCGGTTTTGGGCATCTGCACGATGGCGTTTAATCCTCAAATGTGATTGGCTGATATTTGGCATTTAAACGAAAGCGAAAGTAGGTCCCCATTTATAAAAAAAATCGGTCCCAGTGAATATTTTCCTGGTTTGCATAAATAAGGGCTATGTACTCGGAGGTTTTGGATATGGAGTTTATCCAGAGGGATATATGTATATCTCACGAGGGATAAACCCGGGGATAAACCATAGTCAGCACCATCTATCTAATATCATTTAGTCTAATAAGAATATTGAAGACAGTGCTCACTGTGGAATAAACCCCATTGCCAAAATGACCGTACATAACCGCTTTATCCTATACACTGTTGAGTTTTCTAAACAAAAGTTTTTCACATTTTTTCAAAATTTATTTACAATTTGTCTTTTTTAACTTCTATTTTTCAAAGCGGGAAGATATGCCCTGGAGTGGGAGATATGGCGGGAGATATGAAGGTTGGAAACCTCAAAATCAGGATACGGGATATATCTTACCAACTTATCTTCCTAAAACTCTACTTGACATAAGTACATTTCGGTGGTCCCTCAGCTAGATATGCATATATCCCTCTGGATAAACCCATATCCAAAACTTCCCAGTGCACAGCCCTTATGTATCTACAGCCGTGACCCCGTCTGCGTAATTACAATTCATGCGAATTATGTCACCATAATGATAAAAAGATGAGGACGGGATTTCGGACCTTCTTCCCCTAGGATAGATGTACATGTAAGATGTAAATGTATTCATGGGAGGCAATATGGAGTATATTTTTACAGGAATATATTTTCAATTATCTTTTTGGAACAATTTTTTTGTCCCATTGACATGGTAGTATTATATATAGCTGGCAATAAATTCAGTGGTTTTATTAGAACAATATTTTCCTTCGAGTGTTGTCCCCACGATAGTTAAAAATCCAACTCTTAAACACTATGGATTAGGACCTCACCTTGTCAGTTCTTTTAAAAATGCCTAGGCTTATTTTGTAAAAAGAGGATCTTATTTTGCTCAGTTTGAATATATCAAACGTTTCATCTCCAATATATTTAAAACAACTTCTGAAAATGCGTATGGGATGGGGATTGAAATGCGATAAAGTTAAAAACCACACATCCCATGTTATTTTCCCATAGGTAAAACATCCATTGTTTTTAGCATAATTTTGGTCATCGAAATTTGATCTTCAAAACTAGATCTTACCCTACTATCACACCAAACTAGTTCTCACTACGTTCTCGAAAACGGGCTTCAACTGTGTACGAACGGACTGGACCTACTAAGAACCGTTTGGGATCTATTTACAAACTTCATCGAACGTACTCGAACGGGTAGGTCCTCTAGAACTTAGACAATGCTCAAAATGTACTCGTGGTCGTCACGTTCTACAATTAGAACGAGTGACAACGTACTAACGACGAGCTGGACGTACTACGAACGGAACCGTCGTACTTCAATCCTAAAAGGGACGTTTTAACAACGAGTTGAACTGTCTGAGGACGTGTTGAGAACGAGGTAGAACTAATTGCAAACGGGTTTAAACTGATTAAGAACGTATTTAACACTGCTTATGAACGAGTTAGCAAAAATATAGCTATCACACCAAACAAGTTGCCACTGCGTTCTTCAAAACTGGTTTGAAACTGTGTGCGAATGGAATGAACGTAGCTGCAACTTTCTAAGGTCTATTTACGAACTTTATGAACGTTCTCAGACGGGAATGTGATTTTAGAATTTTGAGTCGATTCAAAGTTCGATGGCGACCATGCCGTTCTGTAATCAGGTCATGTTGACCTTCTAGACTAAGGGACGCGTTCTACGACGTTGTACACCGACGTGGTGCGACCTGAACGAACTGCGAACGAGATGGACGTATTGAAGACTGTTTAAGGACGAAGAAGCTAATTATTTCAGACATATTTCCCGACCACAGCCAGATTGAGCCCGTTTTACGACGTTTTCGTAGGACTGGCAAGAACGGGTAAGAACTAGTTTGGTGTGATAGGGGGGTAAAGTCTCAATACCATTCTTCTTTTGAAGTAGTTTAAGACCGTATTGAATAATTTTGTCATGCAATAAAAATTGAAAAAGAACATCTCTTTTGGGTAAATAGGTTCAACATTTTGAAAAAATGTTGACATGGAGTCCCTATTCATAATTTCTTCGAATTATTCGATTGATATTTTTATTATCCTTGAGAATTTACTTGAAAGATAATATATTGTGTTAATGAGAAATGTCATATTTAAATTGAAAAAGCACTCATGGTGACAGATATGACCGTCTAAAAGCACTTGCCATACTACACCTGGTCCTTTTATGTATGTTCCAATGATCAATCAAGCCCGTTCGAAGTGTGATCGTTGGGGGCGACCGCCTCCCAGATTTTTAGAGATTTGTATTTAATTATGCAAATGTGGCAAATGCGGATATGCCCAAAATGTGCCGGAGAGGGTCTAATTTTTCTGTTGCATGCAGACGCCCCTCCTTGCGTCACTCTGCACTGTTGACGCTTTGCGTGGCGTCCCCCTCTTCAGCTCTTGGGAAATTCTTGAGATGAGCCTGTCAATCATGCCAATATTAAACACATAAGTTGAAAGCCCTGAATTCATTCATGAAATTGAAACGTATAGAATTGTTGTAATTCAGAAAGTGCACTGATTTTTGAAATGCTAAATGTTCCTTGACTACATTCGAACTCAATTTTCACATTCACCGTTGATAAAACGTCTGAAAATATAACCTATTTCTGCTAATTTTTGGTGAGACAGTCACTAAACAACGTTCTTATAAAATACAAAATATAGAAATGACAATGGGTTTTGCAAGTCCGTTTTGTAAGTGACAGAAAATTCAGAGAGAGAGGATGCATTTCAAACTGGGCAGACTAAATGATTATCTGGACCATTATGATATAAATGTGCTAAACACATGATTTGCATATACAGGGTGTCCTGAAAGTATAGGACCCTCCCCTTAGACAGACATATACCAATGCCTCCAATGCCATATATCAGTTTAAAGCTTATACAAATTAAAATTGATTTGCCAAGTATCATGGTTCAACTCACAAATGGGAAATAGTTACAGGCATTTCAAAATGACCGCGGGTTGTTTGTAGAATGAATCGGATGAGTTTTTTCCATGTATTTCGCTTGTGATATAAACCAAAACAACCCAATAAGGTGTGTATTATTAATGATTAACTTTCCCATTATCTCAAAATCTGCTTTGTACTGTACCATTGGCTTACTATGGGAAATTTCTCAAAGAGAAAATTGTAGGGATTAAGGAATGGGCACCACTTACACAATTTGAGAAATTATTGGCAGGCATGAAACCAGCATTTATATTATTCAAAGGTTTTCGTAATCAATGATCCCGAGCACTTTGAAGTTTGGATAATAAAAATACCTTGGTGTTATCCATAGATAATCCTTGAAAATGAGAAATATGTATTTTGGGGATTATCTGGTGCAATTTTATAGTCAATATAATGTTTTAAAGTGTATTGATGTTTTTTAGATGAAAAACACACGCAAAATGCATGAAAAAACTCCCCCGATTCATTCTACAAACAACTCACAGTTTTTTAGTTTTTGACCATTTAAGTTCTTTTTATATATGATCTTAAATGCCGTTCAAACAGGGGTGTAGCATTTTGTAACGCTCATAAAACCTTTTTAAGGCATTTTAGAAGAGTTTCCTTGGAGTATCTGCCCTCGTCGTCCTCTTTTTCCAACTCAATATACATCTTTGACGACAGCCCCCATATTTTCAGTCAAATACAAAACATGCTCTGATATTAGACATTCATTTTTTCATTTATTTGAAAGCTTGAGTTACAACTACTATTGAGTGTGATGGTTATCTGGTTATACGTATCCATTGCCCGTGATGTCTTTACAATACTGAAATCATTAACAGAGCTTTTATTTTATTTATCCTCCCTTCTTAATTCTCTTGTTTAAACAGTTACTACAATGGTTTTATCTGTGCTGCAACTACGAAGTCATCTTCCACCTTTGTGAAGTATGCTTTCCCCTCATATTCAAAGTTCTTGGCAGGAACTCTAACAATTGTCTTCCATCCAAACTCTAATTCAGCTAGTGCCTGCAAATAGGAAGCAAAAAAACATATCATAGATCAATTACTAAGTTCACATTTCACGACCCAGCAAAGGAAGTTGACTTACAGCTGGTTCACTCTAGACAACATAATATCAAACGATTCAAAAGATCCCAAAGTTAGCTGTCCTTAATTTGAATGTATTACTTACTATAGTCACGGGGTGTGTGTTGACTGTTATAAGACCAGTGTATCCCAAACTCCTTGCAACCCGCATTGTTTCCACCTCGAGCATATGTATCAGTCGGATATTCTCAGCATCAGAAACGTATTTTGCAGTGGCCACCGAACCTGACCATAGCCACTTACCACCAAGCTCAGCAATTACCTTCCTTGCTGGTTCCTCAGCTTGCATTACCAAAGCAGCTATAGGATACAGTAATTCTGGTTCAACTGCAACTTCGTAGTCGAGTTCAGAGCTGAGTAGCATTCCAGCAGCAACAACTTTACCAGTGACTCTGTTTACGACTCCCATGGAAATATTATCTTGTTCCAAAATTGGCCAGAATGTTTTCAAGTGATGCATGTATTGCTCAAATGTACATCCAACATCAATGATTAGCAAATCTTTTCTAATGAAGGCATCGGAGAGAACGACCATCGCTTGTTCTTTATAGTTGGCATCTGTACAGATGTTGACTAATTCATATGTATCAGTATCTATGACAGACGCTGTGGCATTGTTGTCTTTCTTTTGCCTCAATTTTTCAATTAGATCCTGAAGACTGGATGAGCCTAGAAAATCTGCAACCGTTAGCAAGACTCCTTTCGATTTCATATCAGCTATTGTGTACATAGCGTTTGCTGATGTCCCTCCATTCTGAAAGAAATCTTTTGTGATTATGAGGTTGGCCACGGGAACTTCGATGATCTTTGCAACAGACTCCAATACATTCATACCAAACAGTCTTGTTTGTATTGGTTTAGTATCGTATTGCTTTCTACGACTGTTGTTTCATTAAACTTGTTTTCATACATCGCCTTCAATGCCATTCGGTCAATTTTCCCGGCAATTGCTTGAATAGGAAATTTGTCAATCTTCTCAAAGTGCGGCATCATGTAGGTTGGAAGATATTGTGAGCAGAATTCAGAAACTGATTCAACGCTGGCTTCTCTTTCCGGCATAGCAGTGTAGAAAGTTACTAACGTTATCATACCACTGACAGAGTTATGCACTATAGTTATGGCCTGATCAACCCCAGGGTGACTCTGCATGACACTTTCAATTTCTAAAATATTTACTCTGTATCCCCGGATTTTCACCTGAAAATCTCTTCGACCTTGGTAAAATATCCTCCCATCGACTATCTTAGCAAAATCTCCCACTCTGAACAGAAATTCATGGCCTTCGCTTGGTAGGATTGTATTTTTGACAAACATGTTCATTCTGCTTATTTCAGTATAGCCAGTTGTTAAGCAACCTCCACTGCAGAGCACTTCCCCAGTCTCACCCTTTGGTACTGGCTGTAAGTTCTCATCAACGATATACACATTCGAATTGTATGTTGGGACTCCAATAGACATAATGTTGTCATTCATTTTTTTCTCAGCATCTTCCAACGATGAAAAAATATCGATGGTAGTATCACCCGCTGTCTCCGTGGAGCCATAACCGTTAATGAGGGTGTGCCCATCAGAGAAATAACTGAAGAAATCTCGAACGAGAACAGTTGATACAACCTCACCTCCGAGGATGATAAATTTGAGATGGGACAGGCGATTTTTGATTGGATGCATATTGAGACAGACCAACATATTTCGCAAAAGGACCGGAACACAGGCTAGTCTAGTGATGTTATATTGCTCAATTGCTTTGATCAACATCTCGGGATCTTGTTTCATTGCCCTTGGCAAAATAATCAAGGGTCGTCCCTTCAGTAACCATGTGTACATTTCCCTAATTGAATCCACAAACAACAAGTCTAACAAGGCACATCCAGTCTCATCTTGTTTGAATGGGGTTTTATCCCAGTAGTAATTGATTATGTTCAGCTGACTGGCATGGGTCAGCTTCACTCCTTTAGGGGTGCCGGTGCTTCCCGAGGTGAACAGTGTGCAAATCAGTGGATTTTCCCCCGTAAGACCACTCTTCATCAGGGCAAAATCAGCATCAGTCAAGTTGGTATCTTCAACAGTTGTACAAGAGTCAGCTTCAATTTCATCAAGTATCGAGTCTATGTTTAACACAGGGACTGCTTGGATGGTCGGATTGTTAGCATTAGATCCACATGCAAATATGCAAATCGGTTTGCATTCATCCATTATGTACTGCAAACGTTTTGGAGGAAAGACAGAACTCATAGGGGCATATGCACTTCCAAGTTTCAGTATGCTCATCAAAGCGATCACTCGTCTTGCACTGGGTTCCATAAACACGGATATTGTTTTGTCGGGGGAATTCAATGCATCTATACCGTTATCCACCATTCGTTTCAGTACAATTCGAGCAACCATATTTGCCCTTTTGTTGAGCCGTCCAAAGGTCAGAGTTTCCTCCCCAAATTGGACAGCCATTTGATTTTCAATTGGTTCCATTCCATTTGATGTATCAATTGTGCCTTTAACAGTGTTTTCAAATACTTTATGAATGAAGTCACCGCCGTTATCATTCTCCTCTCCCCTAAGAATACTAAGTGGTCGTTCAGACATCTGCAAACATAAGAATGGCATATGCACTGTTTGAACTTAAAGTATAAAGTGGGCATAAACACAGTGGTTTTTATTAAAACAATATGTTTTCTTTCAAGTGAAGTACCCATGATGATAAAAATATCAATTGAACAATTCGAAAAATTTTGAATAGGGACCCCATGACAACATTTTTTCAAAATATTGAACCTATTTAATCAAAAGAGAATCTTCCTTTTCTGATTTTTATTGCATGAAAAGATTATTCAACAAGGGGTCTAAAACATCCTCAAAAATATAAAGGTAATTGAGAGTCTAGTTTTGAAGTTATCAATTTTCGATGACCAAAATTATGCTGAAAACAATGGATAGCACGAGTTTTCCCTATGGGAAAAAATAACATGGGATATGTGGTTTTAACTTTAATGCATTTCAATACCCATCCCCTTTTCAAAAATTGTTAATATTTTTTTTTTTTTTTTTTTTTTTTTTTTTTTTTTTTATTCAAGTAATAATTTAATACAATTCAAGTACAAGCTTCATTAAATACAAGTAGTTCTTTCATATAGATATATGTACTATGTATATAAATCATTTTTAAATAGTAATAATAACAATTATTACATGATCTTACTGACTCCATTCACACCCATTCATTACATTCGTGCATGCATTCATTCACCCACTATTCATACATTGACTATGACACAAATTTGTAAAATAAGAATTTATTTGTGTATTCATAAAAGTCTATATAAAGCATGTATGTCTACACCCTTTTGATCAAGCAGCTTAACACTGTTCAAATATATTCTCAGATAATTGGAAAATTTGAAAAAGTAAGGTAATTCTTTTTCTAAAAAAGATTTGTGTATGACATATTTCATAATTAATATGCACAGATTTAGTTCTGCACCTTTTTCTATATTCCCGATAATACCTAATAAAATATCATTTTCAGTTAGATTTAATTCTTTATTTAGTTTTAGTTTCCACCATTCAATAAATTGCTTCCATATATCTTTTGTTATTCTACACTTTACCAGCATGTGCTCCATGGTATGAGTATCATCACACCATGGACATTTGTCTGTCTGTGAAATGTTCATCATTTTTAATTTACGGTTGCACACTAGTGTATTCGTAAGTATTTTGTACTGAAAGCTCCATATTTTAGTTTCATATGTAACCTTTTTTGCAAGTGTATAATAGTATTTCATGTCATTTTCATTTACATTGTTATTTTGTATCCACTTTGTTAGTGATGTGGGTTTCTCGATTTCTTTTTCAAGGATTTTGTTGTAAATAGCTTTACACGACAATTGACTAGGGTTAGGAACATTTTTCTTTGAGGGGTTGTTTTTCAATATGCAATTTTTAAGAGTTTTCCATTTTTTGGGAATAGCACTGAGTATGCTGGCATACTTTAAAAAGTCTATAGGAATGTTGAATTTTCGTTCAAGTTCTGTCAGGGATAAATAGTTATTATCTCTGTCTAGGATGTCATAAATTGTTGCAATACCTGCTTGATGCCATGTTTTATAGTACACCATTTTATTATTGACTAGAATGTTTTTATTATTCCATATAACTTCATCTTTAACATCATTCCAATTATTGACATCAAATTGTTAATATAGTGTAGAGGAGATTTTTGATATGTTTAAATTGAGAAAAACAAGATCCTCTCTTAAGAAATGAGCCTAACATTTTTTTAAAGTGCCAAGGTGGGGTCCTAATCAATAATTTTTCAAAGAGTTAATTTGATATTTTACTATCATGGGGACTTAACTTGAAAGAAAACATTGTATTGATGGCCAGAAATTACTCATGGTGAAAGATATGACCATCTAAAATGACATGGACCTTTCTATTTTATTATTCCTTTAGTCTGTGAAAATGACATGGCGGTCACATCATTTTTCTTTGCGAAATTAAAACCTAACTTGAAAACGCAACTCTGCGGAGAAGCAAATCCCACCTAAGAAAGCATATCTATTAAATGGCTTGTAATGTTGTACATTATATGGTAGAAATAACCTAGGAAATCATAGAATCGTTTTTCTGTTGGAAAAGTTTACGGCCCATGTGACTAAATTGAGTGACTATCAAGATCAAATCTCTTTGTAAGTAGATGGCTTATTACCATAAGGAATTGGTATATAAAATTTGGAACAAATCTGGTAACTGGTTACTGGCTCTGAGTTATCACAAAAAAATCATAATTTTCCTGAGAAATGGTAGCCATTTTGAATTCAGTATTTCTTCATGACCATGGTCCTATGCCAATAACCATATTCTGCGTAACACAAGCCTCTACGTCAACGCGGGCACACGAACGAATGAATGAACGGACGGGCGGCTTGTCTATATCCCTACGAACTCCGTTCGGTGGGATAAAGATAAGCAATCAAATGACCACGATACACTATAATTTGGAAAATACATTCAAATTTTACATACAAAACTATGCTATTGTATATTTCAGATAAACTAGTTGTAAACATGTGGCTTTAACTTCTAAGGCGGGTTTCAGCAATGAGAATTTTCACGAGTAAAATATCTCAGTAAAAGCACCAAAATACAAGTGGTCATGCATTCTATTAGCCAAAACACAAGCAAGACAATATAAACAAACGATCCAAAATATGAAAATGTTCCATATAATATGCCACCGCGGTCCTTTGTTTATTAATTGAGGTTTGATTGACGTACAGCAAGAACATTGAAAGGAATATTCGGATTGTAGTATAAAAGTGACTCACCCTTTCAAAGTTTATTCTCATGAATCCAAACTTTTCAAAATCAGCTTTAAATGAAATAATCGCAAGACAATGTACAAAGTTCAAGGTAGTGCTTGACAATATCATATGTACATATACAAGTATTACGTAATGTATATGATAAAGGTGTACACTGCAGGCCCGTAGCCGGGAGGTGGAGAAGCTGGTCCAGAAATTTGAAATAAAAATCTGCTCCATCAAGCTGGACTGAAATATTAAGCATTTACGTATTTTATAATACCATTAATACTTGAGTTATAGTGAAAACATATATAAATAATATGTCACCATTTTAAAGTTAAAAAAAAGAGACGTAGCCTTGCCCAAATCGGTATTTATATTTATCATACATTTTTTCAAGTAAATTAATGATTGAGGACTGGACAAAGTTTTTAGTTGTTGCCTAACGGGAGTTAATATTTTCTGCCCTGTTTCACTACTTACTAGAAATTCTTAAGCCCATAAAACTGGAAAAGACTTGCATAAACATATGACAGAATTAATCTCCTCATGGTAATTGTCAAAGTAAAAGGTTACTTACTTGGATTCAGCTTAATAAAGATGTAAAGACGGGGAAAGCAGTGGTGAAGCTCTCAGCAGTTCGTACGGAGGTTAGCATGTTAGATAACGCTATTATAATTACCCTTCTTCCTGGCTTCTGATTGGTTGACCTACTTCCGAAAGTTCTGGCGGTCAGTTTGAAAGTTTTAAAACTAGCGCAGAAGACTACTCATTGACCTTATCAAAATTTTCTCTATATTAACCCATTATAGATTACAATGGTTATTCTTTTAATTATTCTTAAGGTTATTTTATTTCCATATTTGAATCATTTAACATACGATGATACATGAATACATGAATATGGAGAAACAGGCCTACGTTTGCACATTATTGGCTTGAGAAAATACATTTTATACAGTGGATATTTACATGTGCAATAATTTACATAGATGCAGTGTTCAGATAGGATGAAGATGAGTGATGACGTTATGACATTTGGCAAAGTACCGTAGCTATGACACCGGTTTCACAATATTTTGTTAATAAAATCTGATGATAGATTTATAAGTATGGAGTTAAGCTTTTAATTATCTGATCTTGGTCTTAATAGAAATCAAGATAAATAAAACACGGTGTATAACCCAAACGCTCCTACATGCACGACGGAGCGTTACATTTACGCGGAAACGCTCCGAAGCGAAATAAAATGGCGGCTAATGAAGATTCCACTATGACCGTAAGTGTTGTTTCTCTCGTTTCTCTTACATATCACATGTTATGGTGAAATATTATGTATCATTCGATGAACAATACCGTGAGCAAAGATCTTATTTATTCAACTTCTGGTGGTAAACTGTTATTTGCTTGATCAAAGCTCCGTAGTGTAGATCGAACGAATCTGAAGATGACGTTTCGACCACAAATTACGAATGGAATTTGACTAAAATATACGTTGGTGCTCTAATCTTGGCTCAACTAATCACATGTATCGACAAAAGGGGTTTTGACCGGTAGAATGACAAATACGTTTTTGAATTTTGATAACTATACTGCTTCGTATAGCTCTTCCTAATTGCTTCAAACGTCAACAGCCAGCCACGTACAACATGAATATCACACCCATCGAATGGTATACTCGAAATATGTAACTCATACCTCTTATTCCCATTATTGGGGAAATCGTCAGACGGCTCATCATTCCCGCCAGCCAGTTTTCCTACTCCGGAGCATTTCTTTGTTTAATTTCAGTAATGAAACGCTCCGTCGTGCATGTAGGAGCGTTTGGGTTATACACCGTGTAAAAGAGACCGACTTGGGCAAAGCGAAAAGAAATGTTACATTTTGAATTATAAATCTGGCGCCGTTTTCAATAACTTTTACTCCTAGCGTTATTGGACTTCAAACAGAAAAGAAGGTTAGTCGCAAATGATATACTAAAATGTACTCATTGCATGGAGTCAGTTAATTTCCTTTGGAATAACGAAACATATGAGTTAAAAATAATTTGTGAAGTTTTCTTAGTGTTTTTTATGAAAAATAGCATGTCCCGAGGGAACTTCCGTGGGAGGGTGTATATCAAATTCTAAATGCGCAAACTACTAAATGATTATCTCAATCATCAGGTGATGTTATGATTATAAATGTACCCGATAATAATTTAAGTCTAGTCACATTTCATGTGGTTGACGATCATTTTGCTACTAACATTTTCTGTTTCAGAAGCACCTAGGATTTAAGCGCATGAGACTTTGAATGGGGATCAGGATCCCGTGAATGAGGGCGGGAGCCCAAGTTAGGCTTACTGACGTTATTTGTTTGCTGATTTTTGCCTTATTGAATTGATCATCATACCTGACAATAACCCAACTCATAGCCGAAATCATGATGATTCTTATTCACAATTGTTAGTGTGAGAGACTGAGATAGATGGCACAAACACAATAGTTTAACAGCTTTGAGCTGATATGTGCGATCCTCCTCCAATGAAGAAATAGGGCAGACTCAAAAAGTCCTCTACGCTCCTCTATGTTCATTGTGAGGAATATGTATCCCATGGACCTTTTATGTTGACTGTGTCTGGCGATAACTAATTTTTTATACTGCTCAATATATATTTATATAAAACTAATCGGTGATATTCATAGATTCATAGATTTAATTGTTTCTAAGACATTCCGTTTCTTTTCCAATATAGAGCACTTCACTCAAGCCACGAATCTCTTTCACATTTGATCAATATAAAAGTTGAAAAAATGAAATTTTAGATTGAGATATAAATGCATATACCATTAGCCATGGGGTTTAAGAAGCGTTTCTCAAAATATTTTTATTACCCTTCAAACAATTACTTGATTGTGCATCAAAACGTAAATAAACTCTTAAATTGCTGGTGTCGATGATGGTGCACACATAGGCTTACATTGATTCATGTTTCAAAATAAATTTTGAGTTTAAAGATGAAATAATGTATTAAGTTTGAATTATTTAATCACATGAACAAAAATGAATTGCAATAGTTGTTGTTTATCTTAACAAGAGAATTTTATTAAGATAATTATTGAAATACATTGTTTTGAGTTTCCCTAAAGGTAATTAATTTCAAGATTTCGTTTTCTAAGCTAAATAATATGCCAAGTCAATTCGTCGATCGACAAAATGAATGTACAAATTAGACACACATGTCTTCTTACATCAAAATACAACATTGTTACGAATAGGTCAATCACTCCTCCTTGTGATATTGAACAAATATTTCACTCTATTGAGGTGAATACCTGTACATCTTTCACAAGTGATATTCCACGAAGCCCGAAAGTGCTACAGGTATTCACCGAAAATAGAGTGAAATATTTGTTTTATTATATATGCATGTACACTCTAACATCAACTTTTCGTCTTCAGATATTTTTACGAATCTACTCGGTTCGTCTGCCATTTTGACTTACACTTTACTAAATTATTTACACTGAACGAAAACAAATTCTTTGAAAATTCCCGGGAGTGTGGGATATCGCTAGATATCTCACGGTTGTCTTATCTGATTAGCATTGCCATTGAATATCGCCAGATATCCCACGACATGTGTCCCGGTTTTGACCAATCATAATGTCGCTAGCTAGATAGTGATATAATAATAAGTGTTATTTAACAGTGTCGCTGATGGTCGCTTAGGTTTTTAAACAATAACGCCATAATTTACACATTTAAGGTCGTATTTTATTGCAATTAAAGCATGTAAATATTTCTCCAATGAGTATCCCCTTTACACGAGAACATTTCCCGGAATCATGAAACCAGTCGTGGCATTTAGAGCACTTGGACTGATCCATTCGAAATGCGATTGTAAATACGAATAATAGTTGACACTGCATGCCTTGCAAATATTTACAGTGTCTGTTCTTTTTATCGGGCCTCTCCCTTTCTTCTTCTCTCTGAAGACTTTGAACTTGTAGATGGGGTTCTAAAGGCCGACGCTTCAATGTGGTTGAAAGAGTGGAAACGTCGTAGGGTGTCGATGCTTTACTTGACGTACTGGGTGTCGGGTGTGCTCGTCGTGTGGTCAGTTTTGGTTTTAAAGATGGTAGCTCGGTGACCAGCTTAGCTGCCTGCTGGGTCTTCCTCACGGTAATAAGGTTGTTCCTTTGCCAACCACAGGGTGAGAATGACATATCTGTTCTGCATGCGTCAAAATAGCACGATAATTCTCGCGTTTCAACAATATTATCGGAAACCCCTCTCACAGCATTGATTCGAAAGGTACCTGGTAAGCTTACTGGTTTAAGTCCAGTCGCCTTATCTTCAATGTTTTAATAATGCGTTCTGGGATTTCTTGGATTTTCATTTGTGTCCTGGCAGTTTCACTTTTAGACTCTGAGCGTTCCCTTCAGTCTGGCGTGTTTTGATTGTTTCTATATAGGCCTACACTTGGCGTATGCGTGCCCTGTATTCCCGGGATGCTTTGTTGTTCTTTTCTCTGATCTGTTGAAGAGCTTCAGCAGACAGGTTATTTCTCGGTGTATACGTTCTTGCTCTAAGTAGCCTTTGATATCTTTCTTTTTCTTTCTCTCCCTGTACTGTAAGCCTAGTCTGTAGGGAACGACGGCACTTCTTGGCGTTGGTGAGTGCCATATTCTTATATCATCAGAAAGGTCTGATAAGTAAGACAGATATACTAATGAGAGTGTGGGAAGTTATGCACATTAATAAAATGTCACAAAACTGATTATCCCAATGAAATATCTATTGTTTTACAATAGTGGCAAGAAATACATTTCGTCTAGTGGTACACTGAACGAAACGTTTATGAATTAAGAAATATCGGGGAATGTGCATCTATATTTGTCAGTGATTTTATAAGACTATGAACTGCTCAATCATCCCAATTCTTGTGTCACATTACCTTAGCATTTTAAGACAAACAGAATATGCATCATAAGTAAATAACATGATCTGCTTAATAGATTCAATTTTACTTATCACTATACGTTGTAGTCACAGTGAACAATATACTGTAGGCTAAATCCTTAGCTCGGTATCACTGTAAAATACTACACATACAACAAAATAGTCATTCAATGAATGTAAGTTCATTCAACAAATATATAGCGTTCGATTATACATGTGATCTACTTAATATGTGGATAGTATTTTGGAGTCGTATGTGGTGGAGTCGTTGATGGTCGTAAATATCTCAATCTTTACGTGGT